TTTCGTAGTAGTAGTAGTAGTAGTAGTAGTAGTAGTAGTAGTAGTAGTAGTAGTAGTAGTAGTAGTAGTAGTAGTAGTAGTAGTAGTAGTAGTAGTAGTAGTAGTAGTAGTAGTAGTAGTAGTAGTAGTAGTAGTAGTAGTAGTAGTAGTAGTAGTAGTAGTAGTAGTAGTAGTAGTAGTAGTAGTAGTAGTAGTAGTAGTAGTAGTAGTAGTAGTAGTAGTAGTAGTAGTAGTAGTAGTAGTAGTAGTAGTAGTAGTAGTAGTAGTAGTAGTAGTAGTAGTAGTAGTAGTAGTAGTAGTAGTAGTAGTAGTAGTAGTAGTAGTAGTAGTAGTATAGTAGTAGTAGTAGTAGTAGTAGTAGTAGTAGTAGTAGTAGTAGTAGTAGTAGTAGTAGTAGTAGTAGTAGTAGTAGTAGTAGTAGTAGTAGTAGTAGTAGTAGTAGTAGTAGTAGTAGTAGTAGTAGTAGTAGTAGTAGTAGTAGTAGTAGTAGTAGTAGTAGTAGTAGTAGTAGTAGTAGTAGTAGTAGTAGTAGTAGTAGTAGTAGTAGTAGTAGTAGTAGTAGTAGTAGTAGTAGTAGTAGTAGTAGTAGTAGTAGTAGTAGTAGTAGTAGTAGTAGTAGTAGTAGTAGTAGTAGTAGTAGTAGTAGTAGTAGTAGTAGTAGTAGTAGTAGTAGTAGTAGTATAGTAGTAGTAGTAGTAGTAGTAGTAGTAGTAGTAGTAGTAGTAGTAGTAGTAGTAGTAGTAGTAGTAGTAGTAGTAGTAGTAGTAGTAGTAGTAGTAGTAGTAGTAGTAGTAGTAGTAGTAGTAGTAGTAGTAGTAGTAGTAGTAGTAGTAGTAGTAGTAGTAGTAGTAGTAGTAGTAGTAGTAGTAGTAGTAGTAGTAGTAGTAGTAGTAGTAGTAGTAGTAGTAGTAGTAGTAGTAGTAGTAGTAGTAGTAGTAGTAGTAGTAGTAGTAGTAGTAGTAGTAGTAGTAGTAGTAGTAGTAGTAGTAGTAGTAGTAGTAGTAGTAGTAGTAGTAGTAGTAGTAGTAGTAGTAGTAGTAGTAGTAGTAGTAGTAGTAGTAGTAGTAGTAGTAGTAGTAGTAGTAGTAGTAGTAGTAGTAGTAGTAGTAGTAGTAGTAGTAGTAGTAGTAGTAGTAGTAGTAGTAGTAGTAGTAGTAGTAGTAGTAGTAGTAGTAGTAGTAGTAGTAGTAGTAGTAGTAGTAGTAGTAGTAGTAGTAGTAGTAGTAGTAGTAGTAGTAGTAGTAGTAGTAGTAGTAGTAGTAGTAGTAGTAGTAGTAGTAGTAGTAGTAGTAGTAGTAGTAGTAGTAGTAGTAGTAGTAGTAGTAGTAGTAGTAGTAGTAGTAGTAGTAGTGAATAACCCCAGGAAATAATTGAGTTTTATTAGAGAGCGTCTTTGTGGATATTATAGTAATTTAATAGTTGAATTCATGATTCAATTATAGTTAGACCACCATAGAAAGCCTGGAAGCACTGGACGGCTGTTTCCTCCCAGTATGGGACTCCTCTGCAGTGAGCATTCACGACCTCCCTCGCGGAATCCGAACTCATGACCTATCGGTCCCGCATGCCTAACCTCTAGACCACTGAGCTGACATCTAATGGTGTTATTGTTTAACTTCAACCAAGTCACAAAATTTTGCCACCATCCACTATTGTCTTCAGTGAGTTACTATCTCTCAACCGACCTAGTTGAACTCCACTGATGACCAGTGAAGTGGATCATGGAGTGAGAGCTTACTGTCCTCTCTCACGGTCATACCAGATCATTTGATGGCATTCATATATAATATATTAGGATCGTTGTTAATTTGTCTTATTCATTATTTTAAATTACATTTTTATTCTATACGTTTGTTTTATTAATTAGATAATAAATTTTTCGGTGATTCAGAAATGATTGAAGGTAAATTACAAAGATGAATCAGTTAATTCTACATTTATCTTCTATTATTTCATATAAATATATTGATTGTTTAAGGGAAATATTTAGAAATTTCGTAATATTGTAGTGTCAATATAAGGTTGTGGAGATCATTAAGTTATCGATTGAGATCATGAACCGATTGGTGTTAGACCATCATTAAAACCTAGAAGCATTGGACGGCTCTGGGTTCAAATCCCGCGAGCGGGTTCGTGGATGCGTACTGCTGAGGAGTCCCAAAATAGAACGGAACGACTGTTCAATGATTCCAGGTTTTCAATGGTGGTCTAACATCAATCGGTTCATGATCTCAATCAATATTACAGTGAACAAGAGCAGGAGTGGGAACAACTAGACGTATATGAATTCAAAATGACAGAACCATACAGTCAATCAATTGTCTCAGACTTGACTGGTTTTTCTTCTTTTGACTAATCACTCTTTTTTCTCGTTCTCTTCTTTTCTCTTCGCACTTCTTCACTTCCTGCTGTCCGGTATTTCATTTTCAACTGATGATACATACTACTTATATCTGTCGATATCAGTAGTACACACCACAATATTTACTGGTTTTACTTCAAAGATATAATATTTAATCATAATCATTTTTAGTTTTATACATTAAGATTCTTTTCATAATAAGTTCAATGTATGGATGAAATCAGATCAGTTAACATATATAAATGCAAACAACAAACTCTTTCTTGACCCCCCTCACAAGTCACTTTAGAATAGTGAACAAGATTCTTGCGTCTGAAGAGGACAAACGGAGGGGACAAAAGTATATAATTAACGCCTTATAGTTTAATAATTTCCCTATGAAGATGATTAAAAGTGAAATCAAACAAGACGATTTGTTACCAAATAATAATGGATTAGTACTATAGTTTTATCATACTATTATGGTACAACAGAAGAACTCTAAAGGTTCTTCAAAACAGCGCAGAACAACGAACACCCTTCGAAATGTTTTAGTTTGTATAAGAGAAAAAAACTTCCTTTATGTCAATAATTTCCATAATCTCATATTGAAAATATGCCAACCATTTGGAGGGATGCTGTCAAGAAGATTGACAACTAATTCCATTTGCAAATTTTAAGCATCGTTATCAGTACAGAACTTATTATCTCATTGAATTGTTTTTCTTCAACTATTTATGTGTAGATAATTTCAGATACAGGTTAACATCAGTCGATATTTCCATCTTCAGCTTATTCTTACTGAATGATTCAGTCTTGAGTGTTGTTAGAGGTATGAGGGCGGTAATCATTTTCCGGTTGCACACACGGTGAAAGGGTTCTTCTACAGGTATCTGGCAAGAAAATTAGGTTAGACATGGTCTTAGTGACCTGAGAGCTTGACTACAGTACTCAAGGGACAACTGATTGAGGTCGGTCGCACACAAACATTTTGCGAGTATTTTTCGTGATAGCTCCGTAATTGTTGAGACGGATATCGTTGGGATAAGACGAGATGTGTATTTTTGGGGTCAACCTTTTCCAACCTTACTCCTCTTTGTGAGAAGGCAGCATCACTGTTATGTTGGTTGTCTGGAGGAAACACCTTACTGCTCTCACACTTCTGTACAGTCAGCAGTAGAACTTCGTCTACTCAATGACTATCTGCTTTATGTTCATGAATAAACTCCATCGGTTATGAATTACCACCAAAACTTAAAGAACTTATGCAGACGGACATTATTAGGTAACATTTGATTATAAAAACAGATTACACTATTCAGATATTCAATTTGGTCTCTTAAAATAGTAATGTGTTCTTTGGTCTCCCTCCTTTCTTTTGGCCTTAAGGATTCCATGTGAGGTATTTATAGTTTCTTATAGTAAAAACGAAATCATCATTATAGTTACTGAATCCGCATACAGAAGTTCTTAACAATTGTCCAGTACGGAAGCTACATGTAGAGATTCTGAAATATTCTTTCAAAAGATGATTGGATCGAGTATCTTCGGCTCTTTCAGAGCTTCTTAGAACTTCCTCAAGTTCACCCTTGGGCCATCCTCACACCTCCCCTCTTTAAAATCTCTTGTGTAAGACAATTTCCTCGGGTCCACCTGAAACTTGATTACCTCATTCCTCTTGAGATCCATCACCCTTGAAGGTTATGCCACTATGCCCTTTCGTATTTTATCTCTTCTACATTCATTCTTCTTAGTGCTTTTTTGTGATGAATCCTAGAGTATTTGAAATGGGAATCAACTTTATGTGATCAACGTTTAACAAAACTTTTCACAATATGCTACTAACAACATTCTCTTATGGAAATCAGTTACACTAACTTATTGTTATCATTGTTATAAATTATCATAGGTCCTCAAGAATCATCTGAACGACAGTATCCAAGACAACAAATATCAACTGGTGAATATTTAACAAATCAATTATCAGCAAAATATCAAAGTTCAATAATACTACAAAATCCTCGAACATTTAGTGATAGTGATATTGATTTAGAAAATGAGTTATCACCAAATGACTATATAAGGTAAATTGTTTCATGATTTCTTTTGATAGTTTTTTTCTCTTTCTAGATTAAACTAAAGTTTTGTTATAATTATTTGATATCAATTTCAGTGGTTGAGATCATGAGTCAGTTGAAGCTAGATCATCATCATGGAAAACCTGGAAGCACTGGATGGTCGTTCCATCCTATTGTGAGACTCCTCAGTAGTGCGCATCCACAATACCGCCAAGCTTTCTGTGGTGGTTAGCTTCAATTGACTCATGATCTCAACTATTGAAATTACTATAATATTCACAAAAACCACTTCTGATATGAATCAACATATGCTCACTAGTGACTGGCTTCAAGAGGTATTTCCTGGAGATTTAGTGTGAAGCAGTGACCAGTGGAGTTCAACCAGGTTCGTTGTGAGATAGTAACTCACTGAAGACAATGGTTGATGTGTCACTCAATTTCGTGGATTAGTTGGAGTTAAACATTAACACCGTTGGGTGCCAACCACTTCAGTGGTCTAGTGATTAAGCGCTCACACGCGAGACTGGTAGGTCCTGGTTTCGAATCTCGAGAGGCGGTATCGTGGATGCCCAATGTTGATGAGTCCCACAATAGGAAGAAACGGCCAACCAGTACCTCCAGGTATTTCATGGTGGTCTAGCTTTAATTTATACATGATCTCAACTATTGAAATTACTATATTATCCACAAAAACCCTTCTGATATCTGAAATTAAATTAAAGAGTTATTGAAAAAAATATTAAAGTGTATATAAATGTTTCATGCTAACATACGACAGTATGATTAGGCGTATAGGTGATTTTATAAGTAATTAGATTTGACAAAAGAAGAAAAAACTGAACAGTATCTACAAAATAAATTATTCCAATTGCGACAAGCATTACATCGGACAAAGTGGACACCCTCTGAATCTTCACCTGTACAAACGGTCAAACGTCATGATATATCGTCGTTTATTTTAATTCATGTGAACAACTGTGGGCATACATTCAACTGGAAGAATATTGAAATCTTGGATAAAGGCAATTAGGCCAATCAGCAATCAACAAACATATTGAAGTCGATTCAACTTACCAATCAATCAGAACAATTACGGACAAATACAGGACCAAAAATTGAATCAATGGAAGATACAACCAAAACAAAAAAGTAAACAATGACAGATTCAAGGTCAACAAGAACCAATCAACATCGAGATCTACAGGTAAAGCTGTGAACCACATCTAGACAAATTCACACACTTCAATTCTACCTGAAGTTTGTACTGATGATGATGTCGTTCAGAAGAACAATGAAAGCTATACGATCAAACCATTTTGCTCAGAGAACAATACTCCATCAAAAAGAGAGGAATAAGAACAAGCAAAGATGGATAGTTGCTAGCAGTGGAATCCAGGACGAGCGCCACTTTGTGTTACTTGGGAATTGTCAGCTGGATGTACCTGAATCTCAGAGTTGATGTCCACTCTGGGACACGAACCCAGTACCATCCGTTTCAAACGCCACCGCGTTACCCACTCAGCTATTGAGTCCTGGTGGCGTTGTTTTGCTTGTATCCTCCCATTGAGGTTTAAGACTGCAATTGATCAGTCTATTGTTGGCATGGTAACGGCTCCGAGTCCCAGAGTGAATATCAACTCTGAGATGCAGGTGCATCCAGCTGACGAGTCCCAAATGGGACGAAACGCGCATCAAACTGGATTCCACTGCTAGCCACTACCACCACTGCTTACAAATAGCTTGTGAATTCAGGCAATATCGAGGCATACGCACAGTATGCACATATGCCAATAACAGACTGATCAATTGCAGTCTTAAACCTCAATGGGAAACATACAAGCCAAACAACACCAAGGGAATAGGTATAAGTACAGCATGAATAATCAAATAGATATTTTTTTAAATAGTTGAGATCATGAGTCGATTGAAGATAGACCACCATGGAAAGCCTGGAAGCACTGGACGGCCGTTTCTTCCTACTATGGGACTCCTCAGTGGTGCACATCCATTAGGGCTGATCAGACTTCTAAGATAAGTGAAGTTGTCAACGCGTTCGATTAGTTCACTCCCTATTTTAAGTTCAGTTGTTGACCCAGGCCAGTCCTGAAGCAACAAATTGTATTTAAAGAAGGAGAAACGCATCTCAAACATTCTAACATTGTTGCTTAGTGCTATCAATATTCTTTTGTTTGTAATTTTTTTGTGGTAATTTTCTAGAGAATTAAAAGCTCAACTACAATCAGCATTAGATCGTGAAGCATCATTACGTCAAATGTTATCTAGTCGTGAAGCTGGTATGCGTGAAATTGATCAAAAAGTAGAAAATATTGAGAATAAAGAAGTGAAAGATAATTCAATATTCAAACTGTAAGTCAATGTGTTTATTAACAATCTTCTTTTAAGTAAATTAAACTGTTACATGAGACATAACTCATTAAATCAATGTTAAGTATCCAGTAAAGTGGATAGATCACACAAGAAGAACAACTGTAGATCAGTAGAATTTCATATAGAATAAAGACTAAACAACACAATGTTGATTCCCACTTGGTAACCAATTAATGTGCTGGAAGTCCCTAACTTCTAGTCTGAACCATGTTGGTAGATGCAGATTACTTGGTTGGCGTCCACATGATCATCGTAACCAATGGTTGGAGACTCTGCGTGACAGAGCTCAGAATCGGTCACAATGGCATCGGTGTATACACTCACTGTCTTCCCTTAAACGATTATATTAAAATCGCTTCATATCTTTCTTTCTATCAACTAATTCTTTCTTCCTGTACTATATCCTCATACCCAATCTTTCTTTTATGTATTACTACTATGTAAGTAACTACTTCTATGAATTCGGTGTTCATGTTGTTGTGCTAATGAAGTGTGGCAAGTTGGACCAATGCATATATGTGCCTGGTTCTACTTTGTAACTCTCTGATTGACAATTAATCTTGCAGGATGTCAGTTGTTCTTTGAATAGTTCAATGATAGATTCATTTGATATAAGTTTCGATGCTTAGTGGAACACCAGTACCTTCCATATTATAGAATGTTTACTTGAAGAGTAACATTCAGAGATATACTCACTGCTTCCTGATGAAATAAATTTTCATTGTATTTTAGAATTAACAATGAGAAGATAAAGTTAATCTGAAAAATTTGATGTATTTTTGCTATATATTCAGAGCAATCTTGTCATATACAAACTTGTCAAGGTATTATTTATGAAAATTTGTGAACATTAAGAGTTCAGATAAACATTAGGCAATCGAATGACAAATTATCTTAATATCCAAGGTCATAAAATGAGTTAAAGATTATCCAGGACAAATGCAAGATTATGACAAACGAGACAACTCTACCTCATGAAATGCTCTTACATGGCCACATGCATACTCACTGCTTACTCAAGGCATTACTGTTGTTAACGAAATTGAGAGGACAAAAATCGAATGTCTGGCGATTTAACTGAGCTGATGGATATGGAGGATCCGCCTACGGGAGTTGGAAAACGATGATTACAAACCAATGGTGCACATGGGCTGCCTCCAGGATCCTGAAGGAACAAATGGCTTATGAACCTATTGTTGGTCACCGGCTACCATGGGACTGCATCTGCTGACATCGTTCCACTGCCTTGTGGATCAGATCTTTAGGTCAAAGATTCGAGGTTTGACCTCGTAAGGAAACCACCTGTGTTCGGTCTGAGCATCCGGACAGTATCACAACCTACACACAAATCGAATGATTTATGTAACGCATATCTATTTGATGCCTTTTTGTGCCTAAATTTATGTGTTTAAATGAATAAAACACAAAAAGAGTATTTTAATTTAATCAAGGCTTCTATCATCCTAGGAATTCGTTCATAACAATCTCTGTACAACCTTTTTTAAAAATTGTAATGATACTTTATAGCTTTGAAGGAAATTTAGCCTTACCAACCTTTTAACAATAATCAATAACAAATGATCCGTATCATTGTTAACTCATAAATCACAGAACGGAACGCTACTCCAGTATGACCTTGAACTGATAAGACTGAACTGAAAGTACTCATTTCTTAACTAAGTGACCTAGTATACTAAGGTATATTGATGCACACCGATTTCCTATACACAAGTCTCAATCAGAAGACGAGAGTGAAACAATCAGTGTAAGCACTAAACATCTGACTTAATAACCCAGATGGGTTTATAAATGAATTATAGAACTATAATAATCTAAATCATCAACCTGGTTGGGATCCGCGAGACGATAGCAACCGATCGTTAGAGACCTTGAATTAATGACTGACTGACTGACTGACTGACTGACTGACTGACTGACTGACTGACTGACTGACTGACTGACTGACTGACTGACTGACTGACTGACTGACTGACTGACTGACTGACTGACTGACTGACTGACTGACTGACTGACTGGACTGACTGACTGACTGACTGACTGACTGACTGACTGACTGACTGACTGACTGACTGACTGACTGACTGACTGACTGACTGACTGACTGACTGACTGACTGACTGACTGACTGACTGACTGACTGACTGACTGACTGACTGACTGACTGACTGACTGACTGACTGACTGACTGACTGACTGACTGACTGACTGACTGACTGACTGACTGACTGACTGACTGACTGACTGACTGACTGACTGACTGACTGACTGACTGACTGACTGACTGACTGACTGACTGACTGACTGACTGACTGACTGACTGACTGACTGACTGACTGACTGACTGACTGACTGACTGACTGACTGACTGACTGACTGACTGACTGACTGACTGACTGACTGACTGACTGACTGACTGACTGACTGACTGACTGACTGACTGACTGACTGACTGACTGACTGACTGACTGACTGACTGACTGACTGACTGACTGACTGACTGACTGACTGACTGACTGACTGACTGACAAACCTTCTTCACCATCTTAAGAACTACAGCGTAATATGAATACTAAGTTACTACATATATCTAACTAGGACATTTGAAATAGCAAATCTGGATAGAGCGTTCATAATTAATTTGCAATAACTTGCAAATAGAACAGAATGTATTAACAATTAATGAGTGAAATTAGGGAAATATAAAAGATCGAAGATCCTAGATTCGAACCCCGTGTGCGAGATTTTGAGTGCGCACTGCTGAGGAACCTCATACTAAGATGAAACAGTCATCCAATGATTTCAGGTTTTCCTTGTTGGTCCAACATTGATCGATTTTATGATCTCAATCAATAAGACAATAATCTCCACAACCCCATACTGATAAATATAAAAATCACAGAAATTAAGTCCAATAAAAATGCGGTAAAAATATAAACGTAATGTGGTGTATTCTACTGATCTCGATAGATATAAGCAGTATGTATCACCAGTCAAAAGTGAAATAGCTGGTGGTGGAGGCTTAAGGAGATCAAAGAAAAGAGAACGAGAACAGACAATGATTGCTGTGAAAACAAAGGAAAAATGAAGTCTAAGACGACATTTTGCAAATGAAGTATTAACTGTATGGTTCTTACACTCTACTACGTCGTTCTGTTTACTCAATTAGTCATTCAGCTAAAATGTAGGACCAACCACGTATATTCACCAGTCCAAGTTGCCACACTTCATTAACACAACAGCATGAACAACAAACTCATAGAAGTAGTTAATTCAATGGTCGTAATATATAAAAGAAAGATTGTGTATAAGGATATAATACAGGAAGAAAGAATCAGCCCGTACAAAGAAAGATATAAACCAATTTTGATCTCATGGTTTAGGAGAAGACAAAGAGTGTATACACCGATGCCATTGTGATCGATCCTGAGCCATGTAACACACAGTCTCCAATCATTGGTAACGATAGTCACGAAGATACCAACCAAGTAATCTGCATCTATCAACATGGTTCAGACTACAAGATAGTGACTTCAAGAACTGATGACACGTTATGGTTTGACCGCCCACAACTTTCTTCCAACTATCTTCAACACTGGTCAGCATTGAGCAGCGTGGTAATCGGTGTTCAGACATACGTAACACGTGGTCTAATCATCTCAGTCGATCAAAATTCATAACCTCATCAACTGATTTACCATCATTCTCTAATACCTTGCATCTAACCTCACCATTACTTGGTTGGTGATCCCAGTAGATGAGAACAATATCTCTAAGACATCTGTGGTCAAATACTAGTAGCTAACAAGTATCTTCTACTCTTAATGGTCAGATTTTTCAGCCATAAATTAGAACAGAACGAACTGCTGTACAATATATTCGTCCATTAATTAATAGACGGATATCTCGTCTTTGCCATATATGACGTAATTTGGCAAAAGCCAAATGAGATTTCTGACTCGGTGTAGAGATTTCATCGGACACCAATCCATTAGGTCTGATCAGACTTTTATGATAAGTGTAATTGTCAAAACATTCGATTACCTCACTCCCTATCTTTAGTTCAGGTGTTAACGCAGGCCAGTTGTGAAGCAACAAATTGTATTGAAAGGAGAAGAAACGCATCTCAAACATTCTGGCATTATTGCTTAGTTCTATCAAAAGACTTCATATTTTATCAGTATCTTCATTATATAGGACTATATCATTAGCGTATTCTAAGTCGATAATTGGACCTTCTGATAAGAGATCAATACCCGAAAATTCAGTCAACAAGAAAGTTATTTCCATCAGTTGGTTTGTAATGAATTTAAACAAAAATGGAGATTGTCTCCACTTGTGTATTCTCGTTCACTACAATACAGCTGCCATATTGTAACCTCTGTAGGTTGCAAATTTTACTTATTTGGCGTAACTACTTATGAGTAGATTATTATTTCTTATTTAATTTTATTCTAGACCCAAAAATATTTCAGCAAATAAACTAAGAGATATGATTGAAGATTATGAACAAAAACAAAGAATTCTGAATAGAAAGAATCAATTCTTGATTACAGAAATTCGTGAATTAGCTTCCATCAAGTATATGTTCACAGATCACTCAAATAAAATGTCCAAGTAAGTAATCAATATAAAAAAATGATTACTACTATTAATGATTAATATTATCTGAAGAATTTGTATGGAGCTGGGTCTTTTTGAAGTCTGTTAAAGCTACTGTAGTGTGTGTACTACTGATATTGACAGATATAAGTAGTATGTATGCATCGCCAATCGAGAATAAAATGCTTGACGGCAGAAGGTTAGGAAAATTGAGGACTTTATGATAATTTTCGCACTATAGTGTACTTGGGAAGATTGTCAGCATCATACGGAATTCATACGACGGACTACACTTCCAAGTCGTGCATAGAGGATAGCTGACGAATGCATCCCAATTTGGGACTGGAGTCAGTCATGGTTGTTTACTCTCGCCTTTCTGCTTTCTTTTGGTGATCGACTGGATTATGAAGACCTCGATATCTGGGTGGGAGCACGAAATACAATGGACAGCTCAGAAACAATAAGACGATTTGGACTTCACAGATAACTTGGCTCTTCTATCCCATACACACGAACAAATGAAGATGAAGAAAACTAGTGTAGCATCAACCTCTGCATCAGTAGGACTCAACATACACAAAGGAAAAAGCAATATCCTCAAAGACAACACGGAGAACACCAACCCAATCACACTTGGTGGAGAAACTCTGGAAGATGTTGAATCTTTCACGTACTTGGGAAGAATCATCGATGAACAAGGAGAATCGAATGCAGACATAAAGGCGAGGATTGGCAAAGCAAGGGCAGCATTCCTACAGTTGATGAACATATGAAACTCAAAACAGTTGTCAGTCAACATCAAAATCATAATCTTCAATACGAATGTCATGACAGACCTACTTACAGAGCTGAAACATGGAGAACTATCACAACCATCATCAAAATGATACAAGTATTTATAAATAGTTGTCTACGCAAGATACTCAATATCCGTTGGACGGATACCATCAGTAACAGCCTTCTGTGGCAGAGAACAAACCAGCTTACAAATGAAGAGGAAATTAGGTAAAGACCGATGGAAATGGATAAGACATACATTACGGAAATCATCAAACTGCATCACGAGACAAACTTTAACTTGGAATTTTGAAGGGGAGCGGAAAGGTTGAAGGTCGAAGTACACATTATGTCAGGAAATGGAAGCAGATATGAGAAGGATGAATAACAACTGTAAAGAACTGGAAAGGATTGCTCATGACAGGGTTGAATGGAGAGCGGTGGGCGGTCTGTGGTCCTCTACGAAAGGTTACAGGCCTAAGTATAGCAAGTACCTAATAATATAGTGATTAGGGAATCTTTGGACTACTAAGTTGAAGTCCAACAATCTTACTTCATTTAATTTGACAATATCTATTCCTACTTTCAATATGGTTATTCTTCACTACTCACGATTAGTGGAAAGTAGTCTCTATAGTGTCTCATGAAGAATACAAAGTCTATAAAATATGTGTTTGAATCGATTGGTTCATATTTCCAACTTTACTTGGACTGGATATAATCACCGGATATCAACACCGTTGGACTAGTGGTTAAGCGCTCGAGCGCGAGGGGTCGTGGATGCACACTTCTCAGGAGTCCAACAATAGGACGAAATGGCCGTGCAGTGCTCCAGGTTTTTCATGGTGGTGGTCTAGCTTCAATTTACTCATGATCTCAACTATTGAAATTATCATCGATTCGTTTTATTTCGCTTTGTTTGCCTTCATTTCCAGTATTCGCAATTATCTTACGTTAAACTTTTACGTGATTATATCAAGAAAACATCTAATTACATTATGGGTCATATGTGCGGCATGCAATTCAATCCCGGTAACATTGTTTACGGATAAAACTTCAAATAAACTAGAACGCATGTGGTGTCAATATATAATTGTCACTTTGAACTTGAGAGAATTTGAAACTAATCTCCAGAAAGTTTCACCCATCCATAAAACGTGAATGAACGAAATTGATAGCCTTACTAGTTATTTCCATATGATTAACGAACTGTTCTAAGATTTTAACCGTTGGTAAGTTTTGTTATGGAAAGGGGTTCAGAGTCAGCCTACGTATTCTTTAAGCTCAAATCAGTCCATAAACTCTACCCTTAACTCTGACTATAGCCTAAAATCCTAATTGTAACGATACTCTTTTAATCTCATACACAGTCGTTTCATTCTTATGCTATAGGTAATATGAATACTCTTTTTCTAGTTAGCGTTTTATAGCGAGTTAGTTTTCTACGGGATGGTATCACCAGCCCCATGCCCAACCCTCCTCCTTTATCCGGGATTGGGACCGGCAGTAGCCCTTGGAGGGGCTACAGGCAATTATTTTTTCCAATAATTCATACGTGTTGTCAATATCTAATAATCATTATAGGCTTTGACTTCGTCCGATATGAGCGCCATCATTTTGATGTTACATTCTCGATGGTCATTTCTTCGATACTTTACTTAAACCTAACGATATTCTTTATAATGTTTGATATTTTTCCAAGATACATTCAGCGTTTAAACATGGAAGGATTTAAATGGCGACGTGAATATGTTAAACTATTACAAGCATGTCTTGGTGCTACACAAACAGATCCACATCATCGATTAATGTTTAGTGATTATGGTAAAGATCGAGTGAGTGGTTAGTTATATTTAACATTGAGAAAGATGACCCATTAAATTAACATACAGTATAGTACCACTTAATCAGTAAAGGGGTATACTTTCTTCATCTTAATTATTCAATGCACTCTTGACCATTGGGTATAAAAAACTTGAAAATGCAACTCTTAGGATAAAATCTATACTGATTGTTACAAATCATTTTAAGTGACATAGTGTTTCTATTTTGTGTTTTTGCTTCATACTACTAATGACTTATTTAAGTAGTGTAAAACTGATCTCAATTATTCACTACGATTCAACGGTTTTCCAGCTAAACAAAATCTCCATATAAATAATTCATTAGTTTTGAGACTTTTTCTTCACTCTCCACTTGTGCTTTGGTTTCCCTATTCTTTTTCTATTTCTCTTCTGTCCTCAATGTTAACCAAATTTTCAATCATAAGAACTGACTGCTGAAGTTCAACTATATTGTGAATGAGGCTCCTATATTGGTCACAATTTTTTTGTGAGTTGAATGAAACTGGAAATGTGGACTGATATATTATGTCCATATGGTCCATTTATATCTTGCTCACCATGAGATATGAATGTACTTTATCCTTTCGGATTGACGATTGAAGGTTTTTGATGATAACTGAAGATATTCTCTTATAATGTCCTCTACAAGCAACTGAAAATATAAACAATAATTTCATAAGTCACTGTTTTGTAAAAGGTTCCAAGAGTTAATCCATTTAGTTCTCAGTACGAAATACAAAATAACTTACCTATTTACTTACACCTGTTACTCCTCACAGAGGACAATAGGCCGCATATCAACACCCTTCATTCACCCCTGTCCTAAGCAATCCTTTCCAGTTGATGCTCATCTCTTTGATCTCTACTTCCGTTTCCCGACGTGTTGTGTGTTCTTCGGCCTTCCTCTTTTCCACTGCCCTTCAGTATTCCAAGTTAGAACTTGCCTGTCGATGCAGTTTGGTCATTTTTGTATTGTATGTGCCATCCATCTCCAATGTCGTTTCCTAATATCCTATTCACCTTGAAGTTGGTTTGCCCTCAGGAACAAAATTCCCGTTTTATATAAAGTATGTTTCCAAATGGTCTTGGATCCATGACATGAAAGTTTTTTGTGTAATTTAGTTAGTATATGAATTCCTCGGTAATTTTTTCAAAGAAAAGTGGAGGAAAAAGTACGGATCACTTAGAACACTCTTGTTGAATCGAATTTGCAAACGTTTTCAAACATTTTACGAAAAGATGTAAACACACCTTTTGCAGACAAGATATGCGAACTATAACGAACTTAAAATAAAACAATTTATGATATTCAAATTATGTATGGAACAACGGTGGCCTACGAATTTCAATAGACCGTTTATTCAATGGAAATTTACTAGTCCTATAGAACTTAATATGCTTCCATTGTTTATACTAACTTTTAATTGAATAATCTCCGTACAACCTCAGCCCCCAAATGCCTTGGTACAACCGAGAGTAAGGAGAGTCAACTCTCCCTCTCGAAATCCTCCTACATGGCCATGTGCAGGGAAGTCTTACTTACTGAATTTTTGTGGTGGAGATGTTGTTTACGAAATTGAGAGGACGAAAGTCGAATGTCCGGTGATTTAACTGAGCTGATGGATATGGAAGATCCACCCACGGGAGTTGAAAAACCCTGATTCCAAACCAATGGTGCACATGGGCTGCCTCCAGGATCCTGAAGGAACAAATGGCTTATGAACCTATTGTTGGTCACCGGCTACCATGGTACTACATTTCCTGACATTGTTCAACTGCCTTGTAGATCAGATCTTTAGGTCAAAGATTCGAGGTTTGACCTCGTAAGGAAACCACCTGTTTCGGTCTGGACACTCAGGCAGTAACCTAGCCCTCACACAAATCGAATGATTTATGTGGCGCATATCTATTTGGTGACTTCTTGTACCAATGTTTTTGTGTTTAAATAAGTACATTCTTAGTTTTAAAAAAACACAGAGAGTAAATCTTTTATCATTTTTTTATTGTTTTAGTATAAACATTTAATCAGTGAACTATTGGATGAAGCAAGACGTAAAGATCCAAGTTTACCAACAATGATTAAGTGAGTGAATACAATGATGTTGTTGATTAATTTGAAAATGAAAATGAATGTCTTTCTTTAATAAAGAATCAAGATTATGTTTGTAGATCATTCGATTATGATAATTTCAATGAACATTTAAACACAGATATGTGATTTGTTTGAATTGACTAACACTATTAGATATATGATACATTCAATACTGAAACGAAAAACACTTTTACAGTATCGAGTTGTGAGGATTATTGTCTTTTATAGGCATCGCGAACCAATCTGAATACCTGTCCAGTCGTTCTAGGGTTTCAATGGTTCATGCTTTTGCTAACATACACTTTGTTTCATTTAACCTCATAATCAAGTGATCCTCAGTGTAGTTAAAAAAAATGTAGTTGTTTTTTCTAAAAGAACAAATCAAGGATTTCGTTAGTAATAAATGAATTTTGTTTTATATTGATTGAAGTTAAACGTTAACACCTTTGGATGCCGGCTCAGCTATATAGAGGTTAGGCGTTCGTACGCGAGACTGATAGGTCCTGGTTTTGAATCTCATCAGGTGGGATTGTGAATGCGCAATACTGAGAAGTTCCACGGTAGGACGAAACAGCTGTCCAGTGCTTTCAGGTTTTCCACTGTGGTCTAGCTTTAATTGACTCATGAATTCAACTATTAAGTTATATAAAAAATAATAACACTGAAACCATAGTAGTTACCGAAATGATTGAAGTCACAAATATCAGGCAAATTATAAGGATTATTAAATTCACTTGGTATTGTTTACTTGAATCTTCCCATTGATGCTTAGGACTGCAATTGATCAGTCTCTTACTGGCATATATGCATCTTGTGCGGACTGCCTTGATATTGCGCTAATTCACAAGCATTATAAGCGAAGATAGACAGTGGCTAGCAGTGGAAACCAGGACGCGCATTTTATCCTATTTATGACTCATCAGCTGCATGTAGCTGCATCTCGGAGTCGATGTTCACTTTTGGGACTCGAACCCAGTACCATTCGCTCCAAACGCCATAGCGTTGTCCACTTAGCTACTGAGTCTCAGATAACGCGATGAAGCTTGAAGCGAACAGTACTGGGTTAGTGTCCCAGAGTGAATACCAGCTCTGAGATGCAGGTACATCTAGCTGACGAGTCCCAAATAGGGTGAAACGTGAATCCTGGATTTCACTGTTAGCCACTATCCATCATCAAGATTTTAGTTATTAATTGGAATATTTAAATCTCAGATAGGACTGAACACATGTTTTATTTAATTTATTAGTTATCATCACCTTAGAAGTATACGTTCATAGCACTTCAGTCATCAAAACTACCATCTATCATTCTTTGATTGCTAAGAATTCTACAGTGGAGATAAATCTCCTTAATGTGAAATAAAATCCTCACATATCTATCTGTGTAACTAGTAGTGTACTGTGTATATAATTTCCTATTCTCTAGCATTAATTCCTAACCGATAGAGTTTAATCAGGTAGGTTCTCTAACCGCGATAATTCGTGGACTATTCTTTGGATTACTAAACTAGAATGAATAAAGAACCCAATCCTTTCAAGGTTTATTATTTATTTGTAGGTTGTATTCATCATAAATTGATCTCATCTGGGTTAAGACTAAAAACAAATGAACACCAAACATTTGTTCTGTCCTCGTATTGTACTTCCCAAAAATATACACCTATGAACCTACCAAGAATAATATCTTCAACTAATAAGTTTCGTGGTAGCGCTTGACTGTTATAATTATTGAGTTTGTGGTGGTCGGTACTCCATATAATCCTTAACTTCGTATACATCTCGTCCTGATAACCGTCACTTGATAACGCGGCGAGACTACAATGTATGGACCAACCAATCAGATATAAGATGACGAGTCACGAATTTAGGCGCGGAATTCATTCATACATTTGGTTAAATAGAGTTTTGGCATTATAGTTGATGTCAGTTCGTAATGAAAACCCTAAATCTAATTTTTAACCCTAACTATCAACCGTGAATGAGAATTCTAACTGATTTATAAACCTCATTTAGTCCTAATTAGAAGTTGTCCACTCTCAAGGTCACTTCAACGTCGCTCAAAGTCGTCCATAAATTATAGTCTTACTGATAACGTACCAACGGTGTACTAATCAAAAAATGAATGCAAAGCGTTGATTACGTTTATTATTGCACCACACAGATATCCAAATTTATAGGTACACTAAGCAAGCATGAGATAGTAGTGCCGAAAAGCAAACAGGCAAGAGAGTGAACGTGCAAGTCGAATGAACCAGTCGGCGAGTCAACGAACAGGATTAAAATGTACATATACATACATAGGGAAATGAATGAATCATCGAATCAATTAAGTGACTAATAAGTAAAGCTAGCTGATTGAATATATGCGTAGCTAGTAAGCGATGCTTCAGCATACACATTCATACAAGCGCAACAACAATAAAGGTACAATGATATAAATAAGTTGTTGTTGTACTAATGTCTCTATCCGTTAAATAAGTTAACAAAAGGGATTAACCAAGTTAAATGTGAATAAACTCAATTGTATGTGAACTGTTATAAGTTAGGTGCCATGGCTTCAATCTCGATCGAAGTCAATTCACATTAGGGCGCGTGGTCAGTGCATGCATGATATTTACTTTCGTGATATCTTGAATATATTTTACATATACTTTTTTCAGAAGGGGTTTTGTGAATATTAGAGCACTTTCAATAGTTCAGATCATCGGTCAATTGAAGCTAGACCATTATCGAAAACCTGGAAGCACTGGACGGCCCTTTCGTACCGGTGTGGGACTCCTCAAGAGTGTTCATCCACGATCCCGCCTTGTGAGACTCGAACCAGGGACCTGCCAATCTCGCGCGTGGGCGTCTACCCACTAGACCACTGAGGTGGTCGGCATCCAACGGTGTTAATGTTTAACTTCTAATAATCCACAAAATTCAGAGATACATCCACCATTTATATATTTTTTTTTTGATTATTTCTTCTGTAGACCAAAAACTGCAGATTATCATGTGGATTTTTATGGATTCAAGCATAGTTATTTAAATGAAACCAGTATTATTCATTATAGTTGTCAACAACTATATGACTTTTATACACGTCAATTATCTGGTGGGGATGAAAATTTCTATCGTTGGACTGAACTTTTAACCCAAGCAAATAGAGAATTGACAAGAGTAAGCTGTATACATAATAATAATAATAATAAGTGAGACTATAATTTACCGATGACCTTCGAACGACGTTGAAGTGACATTGAGGGTGTTCACCTACTTACTGAGGCTAAATGACGGTTATAAACCAGTGTAAGGAATTAGAATTATTACTTACAGTTCATGGTTAGGGTTAAGAGTTACATTTAGGGTTTTCGTCACGAACTGACATCATCTATAATGCCAAAACTCTATTTAGCCAAATGGATGGATGAATTTCGCTCCAAAATCCGAGAGCTGTTATCTTACACCTGATTGATTCGTCCATAAATTATAGTCTCGCCTAATAATTATAATAATGTTTCATGTGAAATTTTCCACGTTTTTTGCTATCCCATTCTCCTACTATAAACTTACAGTAAACTAAACCTACTCTTCAGATCATACGAATGAAATGAATCGGGAAGTTTTCCTACCAACCAAATTTCACTAGGCACAAATCATAGGTTTTTATGCAATCCTCGTTCCAACCAGGTTAAGGATATGTAGGTTAAGACTTTGACTAAATGTATAATCGAATTACTCCAGTTGAGTTCCTTGTCAAAAATTTCCTACTCACTCTGTGATCTTGAGATGAGATGCGAACACAAGCATTTGATACGTTTAGACTTATCAAGACTGATATCTAATAATAAGATACTCGTTTCGATTTCAGTTAATGTAAAGGGACATCAATTTTGAAGTCACTATCTGATTCTATATAAAATTCTAAGTATGCTTCATTGCCATGAGAATGCTGGTGAGTGGTCTATGCTCCTTCACGTGGAGTAACAGGCGTAAGTAAATAAGTAAGTAAAACGTTCATTGCCATATGGAATCTTAAACTACAACAAACTAGTTATCTTCTACCTTTAGTTTATTAACAAACTTCCGATCAATGTCAATTTCTAACGAAAACTAGACTCGAACTGGGTAAATCTCCGTATGTATAAAATAAGCATTAGTTTCAATCAATCAGGATTGAGCAATACATTTCAACGGTCATGGAGCATATATCAAAACAAGATGTTAACTATCAACCGTATTCTGATTCATTTTAGTGGATACATATAAGATGTTAAATTATTGAGAATCATGAATTCCTCCAGAATGCTAAACTGAAAACATCGTATACAAGTTTAAAGAAGTAGTGACATTTCATTCCAGTGTTTAATAGAGTTCAGATTGAGGTTGAAATCAGATTTGATGTAGAATTAAGAGTAAAGCTTAACGTTAAGAATATCTGAAACTCAAAACAACTGTCTAACAACCAACACCAATACAAATGTCAAAGCAGCTCAACTGAATGGGACGGAAACTTGAAGAACTAGGAAAGTCATCATCCAGAAGATGAAAGTGTTTATTAACAGCTGTCTACACAAAATACTTCGGATCCGTTGGCCAGACACTATCAGCAATGACGTAATGTGTGAGAGGACAAACCAGATTGCAGTGGGAGAAAGAATCAAGAAGGAGCTCTGGAGATGCCGGTCACCAACAAAAGGTTCATTCGCCATTTTTACCTTCAGGATACTGGCGCTAACCCATGTGCACTATTGGTTTGAAATCAGGGTTTTCCAACTCCCGTGGGTGGATCTTCCATATCCATCAGCTCAGTCAAGTCGCCGGACATTCGGTTCTCGTTCTCTCAATTTCGTAAAAAACACTCCTGGTGGAAGAAGGCGGTGAGTGGGACTTTCGTAGCAGTGGTTGTATGCACGTGGCCATGTGAGAACATTTCGAGAGGGTGAGTTGACTTTCCTTACTCTTGGTTGTACCAGGGCATTTGATAATGTATCAATTAGCATAAATTAAAGATATAGAGCCTTTTAATGATTTCTTCGAAACCCTGAGTATCATATAAAACGTTCCATTTATAACAGTTGAAATACCACCGATAAATTTTCTTCTTTAAGGCTGATTTAGAAGTTCTTTGTCGTTCTGGTATACCTATTCCATATCGTGAAGGTGTATGGCGTATGTTAATTCATGGTGAATTACATCAATTAATGCAAATTAAGGGACCATTGTATTATAATGGACTTTTAGAAGAATTCAGTGAAAATACAGTAAGTCAACGAATTTCAATCTTGTAAAACATTCATTATTATAGATGGTTTAGTCTTATATTCAACTTCACTTTGTCAATGGAGACATTTTTAGTTGAAATTAATCAACTATTTATATCGTGGATGAGTACTGCTGAGGAGTCCCACATTAGGACGAAACGGCCGTCTAGTGTTTCCAAGTTTCCCATGGTGGTCTAGCTTCAATTGACTCATGATTTTAACTATTGAAATAATTATGAATTATCGAAGTGGTAAATGTCATGCAATTATTCAAGCACCGTTCCAAAAACTTTAATCTTGTTGTTGGTAAATCATACATGTAAGCTGCATTTTTTTAATCTAATGTATTCGTATAATCTGAATACCAGATTCTGGTGAGGCGATCCAGAAAAATCTCCGAAAAAGCCAACAAAGACCCTGAAAACACTGAGAATCGTCTTATCCAATCAGCATTCACTAGACGTTTCGCCGGAAACATCTAGAAAGTGAAACGTCACATGTGGAGTTTTTGATTGGATGATTACCTAAACTGCTACTATGTTAAGTAGCGTTCCAGAATTTTCCGGAAACCCAAGGCCGTCCAAAATACTATAAATACCCTAGATTTTCTGTACATGAACGAACATATGGAGTAGAGTGTTTCTTTCATAGTTCGTGCCTCTTCTCTTGTTTTCAAGTCGCTGTGTATATTTAACCAGAGGGTTACTAGAACAGCTTAGGAAACCGAATCTAATGTTCAATTAGACGACTTAACAATTCGTTGATAAACCACATATTAGAGCAAAAGAACAATACAATGCACAAATCTAAGCAGCATTTATATTATTTCTCTGTTATCCGATCGACAAATTCAAGTTATAAGATAATGATCTGGAAGCGATATATCTATGTGTATATACAGATGTATAGGTTTCTATAGACTAAAAGAGCCCCCTACTATCCAGTTTAGCACTAATCATTTGAATAGACGAAAAATTAGTTTGTGCTTATTAACTTATATCGTCGTTACAACATGCTTCAGAATCGGTAAGCATAAGGATTACATATTTGTGGTTGAATAATTTCATTCCTGTTTCATGGTGCCATAGTAAACATACTTTCTAGGTGGCCTATGCTCCTCCACGAGGAGTAACAGGCGTAAGTAAGTAAGTAATCAATCTTGAATATTATTAGTTAAACAGTTTAGTTTAATGTAATCATGTTGTCTGATAATGTGAATAAACCAAAAAGTACTTAATAATAAATATACTATTTGTGATATCCCAATAAGTGGAAAAATTGTATTTCTGATGTTTCGTGACTTAATGTAAGCCACTTCTTCAGACCTATCACTGTATTTCTGTGTCAGAGTGTGGGTATAAAAAATGTATGCGTTTGTAATATAAAGTAGTGGGGTTGAAATTGTGTGTGTGTGTGTGTAGATTTTGTGGAAAATAAACAAGGTCAAATGTGGTTGTTTGGATAAACAGTTCAGGTTGGATAAATATTCAGACATTCTTTCTTTTTGAACTCAAGAGGGTTTAGCATTATGCTATTTAATCTGAAGAAGTGGCTTATATTGAGTGACGAAACATCAGAAATACAATTTTCTACTCATTGAGATATCACAAATGGTTTATTTATCACTAAATTTCTACCTAATGCTCTATCAATCTGTCAAGTGTAACCTTGGCATTAATATCTATACAATTTACTGAATTACAGATAACAGTTGACTGATCAATTCATTGTTTAAAGCAAATCATTCATACCTATTTTATGATTATAAATATAGTTTCTATTATAATTTTAGCTTGCAGCTCAACATAGACGTCAAATCTCACTTGATTTATTGAGAACTATGCCAAATAATGTACAATTTGATAATATTGACGCTCCTGGGGTAAGAAAGACAATAATGATTATAGTTTAAAAGTTACTTTGTGAGATGGTGGAAAAGATTTGTAGCTCTGGTGGATAATTTTGATGGAGCTTTGTTCCAAATGTTTTGGTCATGAATCTTTCGTTGTTCTTCTGAACAACATCATCATCACAAACTTCAGGTAGAACTGATATCATTCAGAAGAACGATGAAAGCTCCACGACCAAATCATCCAGTTCAGAGAACAAAACTCCATCAAAGTTACTTTGTGTCCAACAATAACTGTAAAGTTGAGCTTCCGAAAGTTTCATTATTCAATGTGTAAACATAAAATGTCAAATAATATTTATTTGTTTTCTGAAGAAGTGGTTTGAAATGAGTCACGAAACCTCATGAAATCTACATAGTTGCAATGATATATAGGGATAATAAAGCTTACACGTAACATTACATTTGGCTTCATAACAGAGAATAGTTAAATTGAAATTCAATCTATCTTAACCAAACAAATTAAGAAACGGGCGGTTAAATTTCTTAACAGTAATCTATACTAATCAACATTGAAATTGATGGGACAACCAATCATTATCATTCTCGCCCATACATCAATCACCCATAACTTTCTCCCAACTATCTTTAACACTGGTCAGCATTGCGCGTCGTGGTAATCGGTGTTCGGACATACGTAACACGTGGTCTAATCATCTCAGTCGATAAAAATTCATAACCTCATCAACTGATTTACTATCATTCTCTAATACCTTGCATCTAACCTCACTATTACTTGGTTGGTGATCCCAGTAGATGCGAGCATTGTTTTTAAGACATCTGTGGTCAAATACTAGTAGCTTACGAGTATCTTCTACTCTTAATGGCCACATTTCTCAGCCATAAATTAGAACAGAACGAACTGCTGTACAGTATATTCGTCCATTAATTGATAGACGGATATCTCGTCTTTGCCATAGATGACGTAATTTGGCAAAAGCCAAATGAGATTTCTGACTCGGTGTAGAGATTTCATCGGACACCAACCCGTTAGGGCCGATCAGACTTCCAAGACAAGTGAAATTGTCAACGTGTTCGATTACTTCACTCCCTATCTTTAGTTCAGGTGTTGACGTAGGCCAGTTTTGAAACAAAAACTTGCATTTAGAGTAGGAGAAATGCATCCCAAACATTCTGGCATTATTGTTCAGTGTTACATATAAAATATTGACTTAAAATCATTGGAATAAAATAATTTAAAGAAAAAGTAGCAGAAATGGTGCCAACATATTTATGGATGGTAATAGTGTACTCAATGAATGGATCTGAATTATCCAAAAAGTTGCATTGACATTAAAGTTGATGTTGACACAATGTGTTGTAATGCTTCTTTCTACTAATGTTCACTCATATAAGTTATACATTCATAGTGTTGTACACAACTGATTTCATCCAAAACATATCGAAAATCAATACTAGTATTTCCTTAAAGATCTTCAATTGATTAAGCATTGTGCACTCTGTTTAACCTTCTATGAAAGATGTTTTCACTATACGCTAATTAAGATTTATTAGTGTTTTAGCAGTGGATTTAATGATATTCGAAATGTAAATTATTGAATGGTAACTCAATTAAACGTTTGCCTAGAGGCCACAATTAACTTTATGTGGAATAATTACTTACTTATTTAAACCTGTTACTCACAGTAAAGCATAGGCCGTCTATCACCATTAACCAACACACTCTATACTCTGCATTCTTCCCCAGTTCTGTCCAATTCTTGTTCATTTTTCTCACGTCTGTCTCCATTTCTCAGCGCAATGTGCTCTTTCATCTTCCAATTCTCCTTCATCCTTGAGGATTCCATGCGAGGAATTTCATTGTGATGCAGTTGCGTGCCTTCCTCAATCTACATCCTATCCACTTCCAACACTTCTTTTTAATTTATTCCTCCACTGCAATCTGGTCTCTTCTCTCTCACAGTAGGCTGTTTTTGATAGTGTCTGGTCAATGGATCCGATGTATTTTGTGTAGAGAACTGTTCATAAACATGTGTATTTTCTGGATGATGGCTTTCCTAGTTCTCCAGTCTTCCGCCCCATACAGTAGAACTGTCTTGACATTTGGATAGAAAATTCTTAACTTGGTGTTGATCGACAACCAGTTGTTTTGAGTTCAAGATCTTCTTCGATTGTGAATATGCTGCTTTTGCTTTACCGATCCGCTCCTTCACATATGCATCAGATCCATCGCGTTCATCAATCATGCTGCCCAGTTGTGTAAAGATTTATACATCTTCCAAAGCTTCTCCGTCAAGTGTGATTCGATTGGTGCATGCTGTGTTGTATCGGAGACCCTTGCCTTTCTCTTTGTGTATGTTGAGATTGACTGATGTTGAGGCTTCTGCTACTGCTGCTGCTACACTGATCGTCTTCTCCTGAATTTGTTTGTTGTGTGTGATAGAAGAGCCAGATCATCTACGAAGTTTAGGTCGTCCAGCTACATCCTCGCTGTCCACTGTATCCCATGCTTCTCTCCAGATGTTGACGTTTTCATAATCCAGTCGATCACCAGGAGAAAGAGGAAGGGTAAGAGTAAGCAACCTTGCCTGACACTGATCTTTACTTCGAACGAGTCTGTCAATTGTCCTCCATGCACGATTTTTCAGTTTGATCCATCATGGAATCCCGTAAGATATGGACTATTTTCTGAGGCACGCCGTAATGTTGAAGAAGCTTCCATAGTGTTATCCTGTACACGCTATCAAGTGTTTTCTCATGGTCAATGAAGTTGATGTAGAGCGATGAATTCCAATCAATTGTTTGTATGGAATATGACTATGTTATTCTTTCTATTTTTTTTTCTACACTAAATTTAGGTACAAAAACTTCAAGAAGTTTTACAAGCTTATAGTATACATAATTCTAAAATTGGTTATTGTCAGGGTATGAATTTTATAGCAGCTGTTGCATTGTTATTCTTAAGAAAAGAAGATGCTTTCTGGTAAATCACAGTAAATTATCTTTTGTTTTAAATTCATTGTAACATTAGTAAAGTGTATAACAGTAATTATGATGGAATTATATAGTCAGTCAATCAGTCAGTTACAACGTAGGACCAGGCACATATATGCATCGGTCCAAGTTGCCATACCTCATTAGCAAGACGAACAGCGGATTGATATAAGCAGTTAACTCAATGGTGTATTATTTAAAAGAGAGATTTTATGTATGGATATAGTACAGAAAGAAAGACGTGAAGCGATTTTAATCCCATAGTTTATAGAGAAGATAGAGAGTATATACACCTACACCATTGTGATCGATTCTGAGCCATGTCACAGACAGTCTTTAACCATTGGTTTCCATAGTCATATAGAAGCCAACCAAGTATTCTGTATCTAACGATATGGCTAAGACTAGAATTTGGTGACTTCAAGTAATCGAATTCAGGATACGCGTTTCGTTCTAATTAGAACTCGTCAGCTGAACGTATCTGGATGTAGTAATTACATAAGCTAGTGGCGATCAGAACTCAGTAGCTAAGTGGATAATCTTTATATTTGAAATTGTTATAACGGTCGGAGTTTCTTCATCTACACGAATGAGACGTTAATTTACTTTAGACGAATATTTACACAAGATTCCCTCCCAATGTCGATCCAACAGGGCTTCAACTTAAATCAGATCGAGAATACGTGATTAGCCTTACCAGAACATAAATGAATTTTTTACACCAAAAGCCGACACCAATCCGACACAATTCAATAACGATCACAATCATTTTATTTAGAATTAAGACAATCATAGAAGCTTTAATTTTAGCTCTTAACCAAAACATTCTCTATAATACTCTTCATGAAATGATCATGAGATGAAAATTTCCATCTTAATTCTGACTTACCAATGAGATTAATAAGGTTTACTTGTAGTTATTACTAATAGTCTTCAAAGTAATACTCTTATATCTAAAGACTTTAGTTCTTGGTTATCATTTGGAAATGTATACTTAAATAATGTTGTTAAGCTTACTAAAAACAATAAATTATACTCAGATAACATAAAAAACACTGAGAATAGACTTAGAGACAACTGAACAGGCTTTATAAGCAAAGATGTATAGTGGTTAGCAGTGGAATTCAATTTTACCAGCGTTTCGTCCTATTTGGGATTCGTCAGCTGGATGTATCTGCATCTCAGAGTTGTTGTTCACTTTTGGGACTCGAACCCAGTATCGTTCGCTTTAAACGTCATCGCATTATTCATTTAGCTACTGAGTCCTTCAAGGGGTTATATAATTGTTTGTAAAACTGATTGAATGAGACTATAATTTATAGAAGACCTTTGAACGAATCTTAAGTGGCCTTGATAACTACCGGCCAATCAGAAGACAGTTAGTATGGGACAAAAATATATTGTACAAAACCAAAGAATCAAAGTGAGTACACTTCTTTTACATGGTTCAAAAACTTGTCAAGGATAGAAAGAGGTTCAGACGTTCTAAAATCATCATGAATACAGTAGAGGAAATCATCTATATGGCTACATAATAATCGGCCTTTGGTAGCAAAAACTCTTTCAGTCCCGACCACATAGCTTAAATATTGTTTATGTGCACTCCGTTAGTTGGGTCCACAAAATGCCGTTTGTGGAAAATGACACGATGCACATAAAAAAGTCTTTGTATGCATCTGTACGCTCTCCATTCAACCGTATATATTGTAGTACCAGGTAGCGGCCGGTGTTACTGGTGCTTTTATTATCCAGTTCTCAACAATCATTATAAATAAAGGAAACTCTTAGTAGTCCCATTTGTTATAGCCGCTCAATTATCACGTTTTCTCTAAAATCCACTGCAAACCGATCGTACATGAGTATTAGGTACTGAAATCGGCGCTATGACTTTGAAAACCTTCAAACGTTTCTGATTGACCCGTCCATGAATTATAGTCACGCTGATTACATTTCAATGATAACAGATAGAAATTCATGATGATATAACTCATTTCAACCTTATATTTATCTAGTAGGAGGCAGTGAACAGTGAAGTTCAACCTGGCCTGTTGTGAGATAGTAACTCACCAATGACAACGGTGGATTTGTCGCTCAATTTCATGAATTAGTTGAAGTTAGACATTAATACCGTTGGATGCCGGCCAGTTCAGTGGTCTAGTGGTTGAGCGCTCATACGCGAAACTGATAGGTCTTCGGTTCGAGTCTCGCGAGGCGGGATCGTGTATGCACACTTCTGAGGAGTCACACACTGAGACAAAACGGCCGTCCAGTACTTTCAGGTTTTCCACGATGGTCTAGCTTCAATTGACTCATGATCTTAACTATTAAAACTACTCTAATATCCACAATACCCCTTCTAATATTTATCATATATGTTTAAAATGTATTTGCTTGTAATTTTAGGTGTTTAATTGCTATATTGGAACGATTTTTACCGGAGAATTACTTTAATTCTGGTTTAATTGATGCACAAGTTGATCAACTTGTATTAAAAGAAATAGTAAATGAAAAACTACCACGTCTATCATCACATTTAAAACGACTGGGTATTGATATATCTGCAGTGACATTAAATTGGTTTTTAGCTGTATTCTATGATTCTGTACCATTTGAAGTAAGTATATATTAGATAATCATTGGTTTATTGATTTTATTACATATATAAAATATTTTATTGTTACCAAGTTGTAGCTATGGTTACGCAATCGAGAGGAGTATAATGGTCAACTTACTTACGCCTGTTACTCCACGTCGACGAGCATAGGCCAAACATCAACACTCTCCATACAACACTGTTCTAAGAAATCCTTTCCACTTCTTTACAGTTGTTATTCATCCTTTTCACATCTGCTCTCATTTCCCAAAGTAATGTGTTCTTTGACCTTCCACTTTTCCACTTCCCTTCAGCATTCCTAGTTACGAATCGCCTTGTGATGCAATTTCATGATTTCCTGAATGTACGTTCCATCCACTTACAACGTCTTTTCCTAATTTCCTGTTCAGTTGGAATCTGGTTTGTTCTCTCCTACAGAATGCTGTTGATGATGGCATCTTGTATAAGCAACTATTTATAATTACTTGTAACATCTTGATGATTTTTGTAATAGTTCTTCAAGTTTCAGATTCATAGAATAGAACTGTCTTGATGTTCGCATTGAAGATTCTGACTTTATTATAGACTTGAAGACAGTTATTTTTAGTTCCATATGTTCTTTAAATGTAGAAATGTGTCTATTTCATAATGATCAACTAGCTTTTGTAAAAAGTTTGATCTTAGCTACTAAGTTTTGAGAAATTTTAGAAATATAACTATGTGATACAGAGTTGCTACTTGTACTTAAATTCAATGATGACAACAAGTATACAATGCAACCATAGAAAATCTATGGTATGGAATGAATAGATTAGCGGAATGAGTGGTAAAGTGAGATGAAATTCATATTAAAGGGAATAGTAATATCACCTTCGGTGGAAAAGGAGAAAATAATAGATATAGTTTGAAAGAGCTAACAGGATCTATTTTTAAAGATATGGAATAGCTACTGGGTTGTTCCATTGTACCGTTGACAGGACAACACTATAGAAGCTTCTTCGACATTACAGCGTGCCTCAGAAAATAGTCAATATCATACGGAATTCCTATGATGGATCAAACTAGAAAATAGTGCATGGAGGACAATTGTCAGACTCGTTCAAAGTAAAGATCGGTGTCAGGCAAGGTTGCTTACTCTCACATCTTCTCTTTCTCCTGGTGATCGACTGGATTATGAAAATGTCAACATCTGGGGAGAAGCTCGTGATGCAGTGGACAGCGAGAATGTAGCTGGACGACCTAAACTTCGTAGATGATCTGGCACTTCTATCACACGCAACAAACAAATTCAGGAGAAGACGATCAGTGTAGCAGCAGCAGTAGCAGAAGCCTCAACATCAGTCAATCTCAACATACACAAAGGGAAAGGCAAGGGTCTCCGATACAACACAGCATGCACCAATCGAATCACACTTGATGGAGAAGCTTTGGAAGATGTATAAACCTTTACACAACTGGGCAGCATGATTGATGAACACGATGGATCTGATGCAGATGCGAAGGAGCGGATCGGTAAAGCAAAAGCATCATATTCACAATTGAAGGAGATCTTGAATTCAAAACAACTGTCTGTCGACCAACAGCAATTTAAGAATTTTCAATCCAAATGTCAAGGCAGTTCTACTGTATGGGGCGGAAGACTGGAGAACTAGGAAAGCCATCATCCAGAAGATACAAGTGTTTATGAACAGTTCTCTACAAAAAGTACATCGGATCCATTGACCAGACACTATCAAAAACAGCCTACTGTGAGAGAGAAGAGATCAGATTGCAGTGGAGGAATAAATTAAGAGGAAGTGTTGGAAGTGGATAGAACAGACATTAAGGAAGGCACGCATCTGTGTCACAATGCAATCCTTCACATGGAGTGCTCAAGGATGAAGGAGAATTGGAAGATGACAGGACACGTTGCGCCGTGAAATGGAGATAGATATGATAAAATTGAACGGAAATTGGACAGAACTGTAAAAGTTCGAGTACAGAGTGTGTTGGATAATGGTGACCGACGGCCTATGCTTGATTAGGAGTAACAGGTGTAAGTAAGTTCTATTGCACACATGTCATATTATCTATGCTGATTATATTCTTTTAAATTGATTCATCAAATGCTGTACACTTTCCTCACTGCCTATAGACATTGATACGAATTTGGGATGTGTTTCTTCTAGAAGGTTCAGAAACATTGTTTCGATTTGCAGTGGCAATTCTTAAACGTAATCAAGATATGCTATTGGAACAAAGTGATACAATCAGTTTTTGGAAATGTCTTAAAGCAGCAACTCGATTAACCAATGATGTTGATGGATTAATTAAAGTAAGTTTATAAATTTATTTGTCTTGTGGCTAACTAGAAAGTCCATGTCCTTCTGGATCGAGAGCATAGAAATAGTACGACTGAACAACACATCAGATATAACAGGGTACACATAAATGAGTACTACAGATTGTGATAACTAAAAAAACTTTCCAAGAATTGTAAACTTATTCCATATTCTTCTGTTTATGTAGCCGACTAGCTCCACAGGCTATCATACTTTATATATATCTTTAACAAAGACCAGTCATAAACCAAATCCTTAGGTTGTAAAGTTTCTGTCTACAGGACTAACTGATACATGTGTACAATACGATCCGGCATTCTAGTTTTCTTATGTTTGCTTTTACTTTTAGTGAAAACAACTTACATTTATCAGTATAGGGTTGTAGAGATTATTATGTTTTTGATTGAGATCATGAACCGATTGATGTTAGACCACCACTAAAAACCTGGAAACACTGGACGGCCGTTTCGTCCTATTGTGGTACTACTCATCAGTGCGCATCCACGATCCCGCTGGCGGGATTCAAACCAATGGATTTCGGTATTAACGTATTACTACTACTAAGTATCTTGTATCTCATATGGAGGAACAGAATTATAGTCAGTATACTAATGAATGATATAATGAGGATTATAAAGTTCTTAACAACTTACGAGCTTCTAAATAGATGAGATATGTGTATACTATACCTCGTTACTGATCAGTATTTGATATCATACAAATAAAAATGGGTTAATATATCATCATGTAAAGTTGTGCTTTAGTTGAATTGATGATTCAGTTGAAGCTAGACCACTATGGAAAACCTGGAAGCACTGGACGGCCGTTTCATCCTAGTATGAGGCTCCTCAACATTGTGCATCAACAATCCCGCTCCGCGAGATTTCGACCCAGGAACTATCAGTCTTGTGCGCGAACGCTTAACCTCCAGACCACTAAGCCGGTATCCAGTGGTGTTGATGTCTAACTTCAACTGATTCATGAAATCGAGCGACACATCCACCATTGTCATGGGTGAGTTACTATCTCACAATAGACCGTGTTGAACTCCATTGATCACTGTTTCTCACTGGAACTCCAGGTAAGACAGGCCGATAGGTCCTGGTTTCGAATCTCACGAGGCGTGATCGTGGATACGCACTACTGAGTAGTCCCCTACTAGTGACAAAAAATCGATAATAAAACGTAATAAATAATAAGATAGATCAGCGTTAGAAATTAGGAATGGAATAGAGTTAGGGTTAGGAGTATGAGAATACTTTTTAATCATAATGATAAAGACTTATTCAACTAGTTGCTTGAATTTAAATCTTTGGAGACGTTGAGAGATTATACAAACACTCTTGACTTTATGGACTGTTGGTTACTGCTTTTTGAATTCCTTGCAATAACCCCAAGACGTACGTCTACATAATACAATTGTACACATCAACACTAACTGTTTTAATATGTTTTTCTAGACAGCTTTTGAAGAACTTCGACCATTTCCTAAACCTCAACTAATTGCAACTCGTCGTGCTTATCATTATGAAATATTAAGTAAAAAAATGTCTATAAAAAAAGGATATTGGCAAAATGTTATGAAAGAATCACCGGATGAATTTATTGAGAATCAAGTAAGTTTTCTTTTATTGTAGTTATATTTGTTGTTCTTATCAAGTAGTAAAGTTGTAGAGAGGTGTTTAGTGGGGCCCGTCATTTTGTCGTTGTTTAGATCGAACAACGTTGTCGAAAGGGCTCACCAATTTAGTGGCCCGTGTATCTGACTTTATTTAGATCGTATGAATGTTTGTTATCGCCTATCCTCGTATATTATCATCGGCTTTAATCGCGTTAGTCAATAACGGATTTAGATAAGTCAAATAACAAGAATGGACTTTTGAATACATATATTTTGTGTGTAGAGTGAATGGAATGGAAAGAAGGGAAACGACGTGCAGTGGAGATGGCTGGTAAGCCAACTCCTTTTTTACCAAATGTTAATCAATATTTAGTTACACAAAAGTAAGTTACAGACATGTGATGAGTAATGGGATAAGAAATGTACACACGCCTACGCGCCCATATAGAAACAGTCAAGATTGATAAGCGAATAAATAACAAATTCACAATATAACTCGAGTAGAATGAATAGATTGAGCTGTCCGAAAGCTAGAATAGGATATATGGGCTTAACATAATGACTGACACTACAGGTGTAAAGGTGTAGACCGATGTAAAACCTATAGGTCTTGGGTCCTATCTCTGGTAGAATGGTAGTTCTGAGCTGCTGAAGAGTCCCATACTAAGAAAGATCAACTGTTCAGTGTTTCTTGATATCCAATGTTTCCCTATCAAAGATCAGTCCTTGATATGCAGCTTTGTCATACATATTTAATGCTATTTACTTGGATAGTTTGCAAAGATTAGTCTCTGATTAAATGACAATGTCTTTTGAATCCTCGAAAACTTAGGGATAATACATATTCATGACGCTGCATGCTATTAAATTTAGACATATTAGACATCGCAACAAACTTGATGTCCTCAAGGGTTAACGTCAAAATCTTACTACCTAAATTCCTAACTCCATTCAATCTGTAATCTCCCATTCCAAACCAATTTGATGATTAACTCGATAATTCCTGATATCGTCGGAACTCTACGAATCAGAGGTCTTAAACTATTATGTTCTCCACAAGACAAGAAGGTTAACAGTCCACTCTTTTGCGGGGTCATAGATGGACGTTCTTGAGGAATAATCATCGGTGTTCTCTCAATGTAATTGATTATCCAGTCGATCTCAATCCATCTGATTGTTATGCTTTTGGTTATTATCAATTCATTGCGCTTTCATTAAAAACTGTTATCAATCTGAGTTACTTAACAGTGGTGGGATGAGATTTCATTATTTCCCTAAATATTGATCCGACTTACCAATCAGTTGGTGATGCAATCTGATACAAGTGTAATATTTTCAAGGAACAGTATTTTATTGATAAGTGACGACACATCGAAGAAGAAGAAAAAGAAGAAAGACAGGTATTTACAAATGCAAAGACATTCATAGATAAAAGAGTGTTGTATTATTCATGTGGATTACAGTTATTAGCGTAGATTGTTAAAAAAGAAATTAATCCCGAAATAGTCCATTTGGGTTAAGAAATCTAGACAGTGTACTTACCTTCATTAGGATGACGTAATCTGATGTACAAATGTAATAGTTTGAACACTTATAGTTACACTTATGTAGTACGAGATATAGTAGCGCCATATGGATGCTCACAATCTTCAATACGAACGTCACGACGGTTCTACTCTATGCAGCTGAAACTTGGAGAACTATTACAAAAATCATCAAGATGTTACAAGTAATTATAAATAGCTGCCTGTACAAGATACTCAACATCCATTGACCGTTACCATCATCAACAGCATTCTGTAGGAGAGGACAAACCAGCTCCCAACTGAACAGGAAATTAGGAAAAGACGTTGTAAGTGAATAGGACGTACATTCAGGAAATCATAAAATTGCATCACAAGGCGATTCGTAACTAGGAATGCTGAAGGGAAGTGGAAAAGTGGAAGGCCGAAGAGCACATTACTTTGGGAAATGAGAGCAGATGTGAAAAGGATGAATAACAACTGTAAAGAAGTGGAAAGGATTTCTTAGAACAGTGTTGGATGGAGAGTGTTGATGTTTGGCCTATGCCAGTCGATATGGGTTAACAGGTGTAAGGAAGTAAGTTAATAAGTACTATTCTTGTCTTCGAATGCTTTTTCGGAGCCATTAAACTATAACATAAATCTATTATTATTCTCAAATGTTATTTAATAGAATCACATTCAATACAAACGATCTACTAAAGAAAACCAAGCTGTAATTCAAGCAATCACGTTTTATGATAATGGTAAGATTTTTATTATAAATGATACTACTAAAGTAAACCAATTGAATGACCCAAAGAAAATATTAGAAATATCTAAATCAAAAGTTGTGCTTAACCATTATAAACACATAAATATTTTCACAATAATTGTCAATATATTAACATATTTTAGTAGTTGAAATCATGAGTCAATTAAAGCTAGACCACCACCATGGAAAACCTGAAAGTACTGGACGACCGTTTCGTCCTAGTAATGGTCTCTTCAGCAATGTGCATCCACGATCCCGCCTCGCGAGATTCGAACCCAAGACCTATCAGTCTGAGGGGTCCCATATTAGGACGAAATAACAGTCCAGTGCTTTCAGGTTTCCTATAATGATTCAGCTTCAGTTGACTCATGAATTCAACTATTAAATTACCATAATATCTACAAAACCTCCCTCCGAATATTAACATATAACCAGAAATTTGAATGCAGTTATGCCATTGTCAATGTTGAAAAGCGACTGAGAAAAAAAGGTAACAAAAGTAGAAATATTAAGCTACCGAGGTGCTAATAAGCTGAACATAGTTTGTTGATGAATAACCAAAATAGACTTTCTTCAACTAATTTAGAGAATATTTCTAAATCAATCAGTGACTATTAAACTCCTTTAAAGTTACTAAGAGTATATCAATCAAGTATATTCGATTAACAAAAAGTCTTATTATGATGAACTGAAACAACAAAAGTGTAATAACGCATCTGAAAACCATTGAAATACTTCAAAAAAACATTTATGTTTGAATATGTGAATGGGATGATGCCGAAGGTTTGTTTAGAAATATAAAATGCATTGATATTCCGTTGTAATTCATCGTAAGTGCGAAATTCAGTATAATTTATGATTTACACACGACCTACTAATAAGTAGTATAATTTTTAAAGCACAAATTTTGAACGTACGATAAATATTCCCAACGACCGAATAAACATTATTTTCATCATCGTTATAATAATAATAATAATAATAATAATAATAATAATAATAATAATAATAATAATAATAATAATCAATACATGTACGTGTATTCCATAAATATTGGTCAAATGCACGTAAATCTACAGTCATGATCAGAATGACGGAGCGAAAAGAGTACATTAATTGAAAGGAGCAATTGACATTATTTTGATAGAATTTCGGTGACATTGTTGTTATCAACAAGATATATAAGACTCATACAAATTGTATGATCACTGGTGACAACATTCTAAAGACTAGTAGTAATAATGCAGTACACACTTTAACAGACGTCAATGTTGTTAAACAGTCGGTCAGTTAGTCAGTCACAACGTAGGACCAGCCAAATATATCCATCGGTCCAAGTTGCCATACCTCATTAGCACAACAACATGAACGCCGAATTCATTGAAGTAATTAATTCCATGATAGTAATATGTAAAAGAAAGGTTGCATATAAAGATATAGTACAGGAAGAAAGAAATAGTTGGTAGAATGAAATATATGAAGTGATTTTAATCTCATAGTTTAAAGGAAGACAGAGAGTGTATAGCCCCACACCATTGTGATCGATTTTGAGCTATGTCACACACAGTCTCCAACAATTGGTTATGATGGTCATGCGGAACCCAACCAAGTAATCTGCATCTACCAACATGGTTCAGACTACAAGTTAGTGATTTCAAGGACTGACGTTGTTGATGTATAAGTTTCGTTCATAACTGATGTATGGAAAACAGATACGTTTAGAAGATGGGATATTTACAATGCCATATGTTTTTTTTTAAATAGATGGTGTCACAGGGAACATTATATTCAAACGTGCAAAGATTTACATATGTATAAAAACTTTACATGTCTTTAAATTCGTAATTAATGATATAAACAAGTACAAAATAATTGATGGGATTAAAATGACATATTTAACCATTATATAATCTTAATAGTTGCGATAATGAGTCAATCTGGAAGCACTAGACGGTCATTTTGTCGTATCGTGGGACTACTCAGCAATGCGCATCCACGATACCGCCTCATGGTGTTCCATGGTGGTTTAGCTTCAATTGATTCAAGATCTCAACTATTAAAATTACTATAGTATTCACAAGACCCTTACTGATATTAACCAACATATGCTCACTAGTGACTGGCTTCAAAAGGTATTTCTTGAAGTTCTAGTGGTAAGCTGTCTCAGTAGTCTACAGGTTAAGCGTTCGCGCGCGAAGCCGATAGGTCATGGTTTCGAATCTCGCGAAGCGTGGTCATGGATGTACACTGATGCAGAGTCCCACTGTATGACAGAACGGTCGTCCAGTGCTTCCGGGTTTTCCATGGTGGTGTAGCTTCAACTGACTCATAATCTCAACTACTGTAATATATTATTTCTTCAATATTATCCATTCATGATCTCTTTTATAAACCATGATGATATCAATCTAATCAATTAACAATGCCTAAATATCATCGTTTTTTTCTTTAGAGCATTTGTGGATTTGTCATGGTGATAAATCATACAGCCAAATTTCAGAAGTTGTTGTCACATCAAACTGTATGCAAAGTATCGGTTATGAAGTGAGTACATCATTCTTACATTTTATAATACAGTTTGATATTATGTTTACCTATGAAAGATTATTTCTAGATTAAAAACACTTTTCCATGTTACTTCTTTTTCTATCATCATTACTGAAAGTTATGTAGTTGGCTTAATTGATTAACCATTGAATAGTAACCAAAATGTTGTTTGTTTAGTCGCTGATCGATTCCCATAAACGAAGTTACAATATGGCCTCCAATCTAAATGATTAACATCACATACACTGTTCTGAGATGTTAAGTGTTTGGACTTAGCAAAGAGAAAAACCAGATTGACATACGTTTCATGCTAATTGACATTCATCAGCAAGGTTATCTATGATCTTGAGGAAGGTGAAACTCATTTTAGAATGTTGATTCATGTAGACCAGTGATAAACAGAGTTTTACAAGTACTAAAAGACTACATAGATAAGATACTGGTTACTGTTAATAGACCAATCGATGGTGATCACCTCAGACCAATAGGAGGTCATTTAGGAACGTGAATAGCCTAGTAGTAATATCTGAAGATCTGTAGCTAGACGAGGCGTATACAAGTCTTACAGAAAACTATCAATCTCACCATGATTACACGTACGCCTAAATATCGAGTTCCAGGTAACGTATAACCTAGGCCAAATGGTGTTTGTTGTTGCCTATCCACAACCATCTAACACATTAGTTAACAGTTTATTAATAACTAATATCATGTTGCCTAATCCTTAAAATTAATCAGATTTTATTGATCACTTTGCGAAGTATCACTCCTAAAGATCGCCGAACAGAATTCAATGAAGTCTAGTAACTTTCTGACAGTAGTTTTTGATCATATCTAAATTATGTTAGAAGTCTACTAGACGTTTGATACAGAACGAAACTGAGATATTCGATAGTGTTTTGATCAACTATAATTGAAGTAAAAATCACCAAATTTTGTTCCAGTAATCTATGAATAGAGAATTTGTTGATAATCAATAAGAGTCTGAGAATGGAATTCAGTTGTTTGATGTTCTTTTGCTTTCAGCAACTCTCTAGCTTTTATCACTGAGTTGGACAATTCCTCGTAAATCTTTTGTTAATTATGTTGAATACAATAATGCTTGAGTTATTTAATCAGTAATATGATCTTCAAAGTTCCAATAACTAACTAACGACTAGGTATTCATTTCGACTGATGATTTTTGAAACATGTTACCACAATTGATTGATCACTGGGTGGTGATCAATCCCATGCTTGTCTAGTCCTTATTAGTGCAGATCGAATGCTATCGATCATGTCGCAATGTGGCCAACAGTCTAGGTGACTCGACACTGCGGGCACTATGTATTGAGATTAGATGGTGGTTGGAGGTAGTCAACAGGAAACCCTGGACCCGGGTTTCGTGCTACTTGGCACTCGTCAGCAAGGTGTACCTGTAATCTTGAAGGAACTGGTGCTCCCTGTCGGATTCGATCTCGTGTCACCCAGCTTCGCAGTGTCGAGTCACCTAGACTGGTGACCACATTGCAACATGATCGATAGCACTCGATCTGCACTAATAAGGACTAGACAAGCATGAGATTGATCACCACCCAGTGATCAATCAATTGTGATTACATCTCAGTCCTACAGGAGGTCAGTCACGGCTCGGATAGCTCAGTGGTAACGTCTCTGACTGTGAAGCTGGGTGACACGAGATCGAATCCGACAGGGAGCACCAGTTCCTTCAAGATTACAGGTACACCTTGCTGACGAGTGCCAAGTAGCACGAAACCCGGATCCAGGATTTCCTGTTGACTACCTCCAACCACCATCTAATCTGAAACATGTTACCATTCAGACTCTATATGTACACGTGTATTAGACCAATTTCGATAATAATAATAATCCCTTTATCCTTGAGGATTCCATGTGAGGGATTGCATTGTGACGCAGTTGCGTGCCTTCCTCAATGTGTGTCCTATCCACTTCCAGCGCTTCTTTCTGATATCTTCCTCCACTGCAATCTGGTTTGTTCTCTCTCACAGTAGGTTGCTGCTAATGGTGTCCAGCCAACGGATCCGAAGTATTTTACGTAGACAGTTGTTAATAAACACCTGTATCTTCTGAATGATGGGTTTCGTAGTTCTCCAAGTTCCCGCCCCATAAAGTAGAACTGTCTTGACATTTGTATTAAAAATCCTGACCTTGGTGTTGGTTGTTAGACGGTTGTTTTGAGTTCCAGATATTCTTCAAATTATTTTTATTTATTTATTTATTTCAATTCAGTTGGAATCTCGTGTCAGTTGTATATGTGCATTTAGTAATGAAATTATTCTACTTGGTATGATGTCTAAACAATTATGTGCTTATTCAGTGATACAAAAGTAAGTCTTACAATTGATTATTTTGTAATTTGATTAACACTATAAAGTGTCTATGGTCTAATGATTATGATTACATGTCACACACAGTCTCCAACAATTGGTTATGATAGTCACGCGGACCCCAACCAAGTAGTCTGCATTTACCAACATGACTCACACTAGAAGTTAGTGACTTTAACGACTAATACTACGTTATGGTTTGGCCGCCTACAACTTTCTTCCAACTATCTCTAACACTGGTCAGCATTGTGCGTCGTGGTAATCGGTGTTCAGACATATGTAACATGTGGCCCAATCATCTCAGCCGATGAATATTCACAACTTCACCAACTGACTCATCATCATTCTCTAATACCCTACACCTAACCTCACAATTACTTAGCCGGTGATATCAGTAGATGGGAGAATTATTTCTAAGATATCTGTGGTTAAATACTAGTAGCTTACGAATATCTGCTGTTAATTGCCACGTTTTGCAACCGTAAATTAGAACAGAACGAACTGCTGCAAAGTATACTCGTCCCTTAATTGATAGACGGATATCTCGCCTTCACCGTAGATGACGTCAGTTGGCAAAGGTCAGAATTTACGTTGAGTTCTTTCATTGAAAGTATGGTGTATGGAAGGTTCTTCATCGATGTAGTTTGCTGTGTTAGGTTTGTCGTTAGGCTCATCTCTTTAATGACTCTTTATCTGACTCCAGTTAGATCATTTGATGATTGTTATTGAAATATACATTCCGGCTACCCTCGTATATAATCACTAACTTGCGTTAGTAAACAACAGAATTAAACAAGTAAAATATGAGAATGAATTTCGAATACATATATTTCCCACAATAGTTGGTCTGGACAGAGAATTGGGGAAACGGAGCAAAGAAAGCAAAGAGAAGAGAACAGAAGAGAGCGAAATGAGACGAAATGACATACGGTGAAGAAGGCGACTAAGCCAACTTACTTTAATCAAGCGTTAATTGATAGTTATAATCAACGAAAAATAACTTACAGACACATAAACAATGAGGTAAGCAATTAACACACATACGATCATATAGAAAAATGATCAGGATTAATAAGCAAATAAGTGACAGGATCAAAATGTGGCCTTAGAAGAATGAATAGATTGATCTGTCCAGAAGAAAGAATAATCTATATGGGCTTGATACAGTAAAAACGGCTGAAATATGGAAAGACATTTAAAGGATGTTAATACACCACTTTGATGAGTGACTGTAAAGTTATCTTTGGAAAATGTCAGCATCGAATACGTTCCGGAACTATTGTACCGTTTATGCACCCCACATGTAAACACTTATTATTAGTGTATAACCTTCAAACGTGAAAAAGTACACTACCTAGGTAATTTGCACTTACATTATTGAGTATTGAAAGTAAAAAATAATTGTTAGTGATGGAATCAGACTTTTGGAAACTGTTCTACACAAAAATATGAAGCCGTTGCGGGCCTGGAGCTGAGGTGCCGGTTGCGACAGTCTGGTGAGGAGAGGTGGCATTGAGTGGAGTGTTCCGACGGAGCGGCGTTGTCTGTAGAGAGTGCTGTCGACGGAGAGGAGCGGTGGGACGTAAGGATGCTGAGCGGACATCGGATGTAGATGGCTCAGCAGTCCGCTGTAGTGCAGGCGTCGAAAGCCCTAGGTGCCGGATGGATTTCGGATATTGGTGCCCTGGCAAGTCGGCGGAGCTACTGGTCCAATGCATATATATATATATATATATGCATTGGACCAGTTGATTACATTTAAACTAAGTAACAGTGTGGTGTATGCCAATTATGTTAACAGATGTAAGTAGTACGTAGCACCAATCGTAATGGAACACCTGCGAGCAGAAGACTGAGAAGACCGAAACAATGAAAACTGAAAAGCAAACTGAAATCAATCAAGATAACAACAGTAATGAAGGAACAATGAGGTTTGTAGGGGACAACTGATGGAAGATGTGCAAATGATGTACTTAGTGCATAATTTGCATATTTTATGAAGTTACTCTACAATTTTTGCTAAACAATAACTTGGTTATCTGCGCCAAGTCTTCATTCACTACAACAGTTTTATCGATGAGATGGATGACTTTTGAGCGACGCTTAAGTGACCTTGAGAATGCCCATCTACTTCCTGGGGCTAAATGAAGGTTATAAAGTACCGTGAAGAATAAGAATTATAATTTACAGATGATGGTTAGAGTTAGAAATCAGATTTTGGATTTTCATCGTGAACTGACGTCGTCTGTAATGCCAAAACTCTATTTTGCCAAATGTATGAGTGAATTTCGCGCCAAAATCCAAGACTTTATATCTTAAATCTGATTGGTTCGTTCATTAATTATAATCGCGCCAAATAACATTGATTAAATCAGCATATAAATGAAATATTATTTATTTTATTATCCCCTTTTTAATACAGTTCGAAAATTTGGCAAATTCCAATTCATGACAGTGTCAGTGATTTAACTTTTGCATACTTTTTACACGATCATACTAATAAAGTTTATGCTGGTTTAACAAATGGTGAATTAGTTGTTATTGAAGTATGTGATTTTCATTTTATTAACATGATTATTATGATATTTTTTATTTGATCCAAATCTATATGAATAGTTGAATTCATGATTCCCGCACGTGGGACTCAAACTCAAGACGCTTAGCCTCAAGAGGTTAAGTGTTCTCGCCCCCGAATGCCCTGGTACGACCGAGAGCAGGGGGAGTTAGCTATCCTTCACCAAATGCTCTCAAACGGCCACGTGCGTACAACGATTGTCAGGGAAGTCTTACTCACTGCCTTCTCGCAGCACTATTGTTGCGTACGAAATTGAGGGGACGAAAACCGAATGTTCGGCGCTTTAACCGGCTTGGTGGATATGGAGAGTCCGCCTAGGGGAGTTGGTAAACCCTGATTCCAAACCAATGATTCACATGAGCTCCAGGATCCTGAAGGAACAAATGACGTATGAACTTGTTGTTGGTCACCAGCTACCATGGTACTGAGTCTCCTGAAGTTGCTTCACTGTCTTGTAGATTAGACCTCCGGGTCGAAGGCTCGAGGTGTGGCTCCCTAACAAAGGCACCTGGTTCGGTTTGAGCACCCGCACGGTATCCTAGCACTCACACAAATCGAAGGATTTTTGTGGTGCATATCTGTTTGATGCCTACTTGTACCAATGGTTATGTGTTTAAATAAATAAACATTCGCGCGCGAGACCGAAAGTCTTTTATTCAACTCCCGTGTGCATTATCATGGTTGTACACTGCTGAAGAGTTTCCTACCAGGACGAAACAACTGTCCAGTACTTTCAGGTTTTCAATATTCTTTTCTTTTTATTCATTGAGATAATGTGATTATTACTGACAAATCCATATATAACCTAAATCCAATGTATAACTATATCAATGAAGTAATCAATTAAACATTCTATGGATCATAGTACAAATGCATATTACATAACAGACAATTGGTTGAACTTGATTTCAATTTAGAATTTCCGACTAAATTGAATCACTTCATTGAATGATTTCTATGTTTTATCTGTTTTGCTAAAATTTAGAATATTGGCTTTGAAGAACCACGTGATTCTATATATTACATTACTATTAGTTTTATTCCAATATCATCTGTACTTTTGGCAAAGAATCAATTATGGTGTGCAAGTGGTAGTTCTATATTCATTTTTCATGCTAAGTGAGTTTCATGAAAATTGACATTTTCAAATTATCCCATTCTATTTTTTTTCATCAATAAGGGGTTTTTGTGGATAGTATAGTAATTTTATAGTTGAATTCATGAGTTCATTAAAGCTAAAACACCATGGAAAACCTGGAAACGCTGGACGGCCGTTGTGAGATAGTAAATCATTGAAGACAATGGTAGACGGTGGCACAATCTCATGGATTGATTTAAGTTAGACAATAAAACCGTAGAATGTCAATTCAGTGATCTAGAGATTAAGTGTTCGCACACGAGACAGATAGGTCATGGGTTCGAGATCCGCGAAGGGGATCGTGGGTGAGCACTGCTGTGGATCAAAATCTATAGTTTAATTCATCCTTCCATATAAGCTGAATCATCAGTGTAAGTCTGCAAGAACTGGAGAGTCATGTCATTCTAGTATGGGACTCCTTAACAGTGCACAACCACGATCCCGTACGTGGGACTCGAACTCAGGACACTTAACCCCTTGAGGTTAGGCGTTCACGCGCAATACCAAAAGAAGTGGATTCAACCTCTGCGTGCAGGATCATGGATTTAAACTACCATGGAGTCTCATATTACGAAGAAACGGCCATCCAGTGTCTCCAGGTTTTCCATGGTGGTCATGCTTTAACTTACCCATTCTTTTTTCTCTAAACTTATTTATTGCACTATTTCAATAATCAAATCAATACATAAAACCATTGTCTTGATCAATGGATCGTACTACATCGTTCTGTGGCCTAAAATCTTAGCTTCTTATTAACTATTTACTTACATGAATATATTCAAGTAATTGAATTTGCAGGTGAGCTAACTGTGAACAGAGTTTTTTATCAAATGTGAAAACCATACATTAAATACTTGATTTGCAAATCCTCTATCAATTATCTTAATCTTCGTCGTTCCTTCACCGCTTTTACAATTACTCTTTATTCCCGTTCTCTTCGATTCAATCTTCTCAATCTTCTGTTGCCATATACAATACTTCTGTTTGGAGTTACATACTACTTATGCCTGTAGTATGCATCACGGAATAATTAAACTACTGATTCCTATAATGATAAGTTCTCTTTACTCCAATAATAATAATAGTGACACTGCATGACCCTCGTGACTCTTTCTTCTCCGAGTCCGCCTAACTAGTAGATGACTAACTCTGAATGTTCTATTTAAACTTAAGTAACAAATAACATTCGTTTGACATGAAACAGTCACTGTGAATCATTTCAACCTGAAAAAACAGCCAAGTGGTTTGCAGAATCAATGGATTGAATTTTTAAATCATAGTAAGAAACTTCAAGTGAAGAAGCGCTGAAAGTGGATAGGACACACGTTGAGGAAAGTACCCAACTGCATCACAAGACAAGCCCTCCCTTGGAATCCTCAAGACTAAAGGAGAAGTGGAAGACCAAAAAACACATTAGGCTGAAAAATGGAGACAGACATGAGAAGAATGAACAACAATTGTATAGAACTAGAAAGCAAGGCCTAGGATAGAGTGGGTTGGAGAATACTAGTCGGAGGCCTATACTCCATTGGGAGTAACAGACGTAAGTAAGTATCCCCAAATGATCTTACTGAACTGATTACAATTGATTATATAACTCAATGTTTCTATGGTTACATACATTATCTTTCTTTGTATTGTTTGTTTTTCCTTTTGAAATTCAAAACATAATCTGTTTTAGAACAATGGATTATTATAAACAAATTAGTATATCTAATAATCCATTAGATGTAATATTAAAAATATGTCTTGGTGATAATGGTGTTTGGATTGCAGTACGTGGTAGTTCAGTTATTGAATTATGGGATCCAGATCGATTGATACGTATACTTTTATTCAATATTGTTAATGAAACTTATTTAAGTCGGAGGCCAGTAAGTGATATAAATTTGTTTAATATAAAGTTATACATGATTTGATCATGTTCTGGTCTAATTCTTTATGTTAGGGTATGATTCAATCCAATAACGTGGTTATATATTGAATTGTTTAAATTAAAAGGCCACTCCAAAGGTTGATTGATAAGATTCGTTTGCCACCAAATGACAAACATGACAATGGTCTCTACTAGGTAATCTATTGATGTACATACCTCACTCTAACTGTAGGTCATTCGCTTCCTTAAATAAATCTACGGTAGAGGCTTTGAATACACTAGTGGATGACACAGATTTGAATCACATGGAAAAGAAAAGCTCCCTTAAGATTGCGGATGTGTTTAGCTCTAGAGATACGTGTTGACTGCATCACTTGTTATGAAATGAAACATTCACTTTTAAATTACTAGCTACAAGTTGTCATCTTCAGCTAACTGTTATCATTTTCATGCTGTAGGTAAGTAGCTAAAGAACTATTCTTTCAATCAGTCGATAAAATATTTAACTACTTAACCACCTATTTTCTGTGTGAACGATCTTCAACCAAATTATTTTAGCTCAAACTCAATTAAATTTTCTCACTAGTGACTATCTTAGAGAATTTTCGAAGTTCTACGGAGTTGAGAACAGTGAAATTCACTCGTATCAAGTGTGAGAAAGGTACCCGACTAAGACAATAGAATATAGTCAAGCAATATTGCACATTGATTGATTGAAGTTAACATGTTGTTCCACTGGATTCCGACTCAATGATACAGAGATTCAGCTTTCGTGAGAGATACCGAATATCCTGAATGTAATCCCCAATGGTGAGATCGTGGGCGAGTACTACTTAGGAGTTTCATGTCATGATTAAACAGTAGTTTAGAGCTTCTAGGTTTTTAATGATTGTAGTATAAAGATCTCGGTAAAAAGTCTCTATTTTCATTGTCGAGTTCTGTTCAGTATTATCACTTTAGATTATATCTAATGGAAATTTATAAAACACATAATTACTATTGACAACATGGTATTTCAAATCCCCATTGATTCTATTTATTTAGACCGAATAGCACTTCATTGAATGAATCACGACTTGTTGCGAGATTGTCACTGATTTGATACCAAATCAATAACCAAATTACTAAAGGACTATTAGCTCATAACCACCATGTTGTATTATGTAATACAATAGTGTGGCTCAAGTATGTTCTACTGAATGGTTATCAGATCTCGTTTACTCACTAGGTTAATAGACTTATCTCTTTTGAAGGAATTGATTGAATTTCAGGTTGATAGAAGTGACTTATTTTTTGAATGGTCTAAGTCATAATGGAATATTCAAGTCAATTGATCTAAATTATTAGGAGTTAGTCGATTAACTAGAACCTGGCTTATTCATCTCAATTCATTTAACTATGATAGACTTGAATACTAGATCATGCAATCAGTTAGTTAATAGAACAGCACATAAACATCTTGATATATGAGATTGAACTAAAAATTCATTAACAGTTACACAAAATATTTACAATTTAAGAGCCTTACTCTGTGGTAATTATTGTGTTCGCCTATCTGATCGTTCGAAACCAAACTCTGGGCTATACAATAATTTATTCCGTCTATATGTGTATCGATCTATGAATATATCCCATCGTGAGATAAGTGACAATATTTCAAGGTAGAAATCATTACAAACTGACATTCACCTAGAGAATTATTACAAGTCAGCAGGAAAAGTTACGTCATTTTGTTTTTGTTCCAAACTTATCAGCAGTCAATATACATGATGTAGTATGGCATGAATTACAGGATCTTTGGGTTTTTAGGATGAAAAAGGGATCAATTAAACTCCTGAACTAGAATTATGTGATCCACAAATTCTAAAGAAACACTGTGAATGTTATCCATTCTCCATACTGAATATATCCCTTACATCCAGCATGATTGAAATTCACTTTAATTCTACGACCTCAGGGTTTTAGTTTTAACACCAAGACAAGAATTGTGGATGAACATTGTTGACAAGTAAAAATCAGGGCAAAATAATTATCTCACATTCTCTTCTTCTCAGCTGCTCTAAAGTTTGTATCACACATATCATAAGTAACATCAGATGTAAACTAAATATGTAAGGTTAATGTAAAAATATACCGTGCGAGTTATTATTATAATATTTCTTTGCAATTATTACACTACTGAAATATTTGTTAGTAATAAAACCGATTATAAGTAATTTCATGATATACAACTGAGATATACACATTTTCATTTGGATATTCTTTTACAGGAAGAAGAGTACACATTTAATCCTCAACGAGTCACTGTAATACTTCCCTATGATAATACATTATGGATTGGTACAGGAATGGGTGAAGTTTTAGTTTATCAAATTCGAACTTATCAAAGTAAGTTTAGTTTAAAGTTAAATCAAGAGGAAATATGGATATTTAACTCATTATTCAAATTCTTCAAATACAAATCGATGATTTGTAAAGCTAAAACAAAAATGGATGCAGAATGATATGAATTCATCATACTTCGTGGTTTTTTTTTCAGCTGCTTACAACCACTGATATATAATGAAAGTTAAATATTGTGGCAAAACAACTGTTTAATCACTGGGTGGTGGTCAATGTCACGTGTGTCATGTCCTTCTTAATGAAGATTGAATGCTATCGACCAATTTGCGATGTGGCCACTAGTCTAGGTGACTCGACATTGCGTTCATTACTTTAGGATAAGATGGTGGTTCGAAGTAGTCAATAGAAAACCCTGGACCAGGGTTTCGTGCTACTTGGCACTCTTCAGCAAGGTGTACCTGTAATCTTGAGAGAACTGATGCTCCTTGACGGATTATATCCCATATCACCCAGCTTCACAGTCAGAGATGTTACCACTGGGCTATCTGGGCCGCGACTGACTTCCTGTAGGACTGAGATGTAAATATAGAGTGGTCAACTTTCAATACATAGCAACGATTGTAAGCAGCTGATAAGAAACCATGAAATTTGATGAATTCATGTCAGTCTGCATTCATGTTTGTTATGGCTTTATTTAAACTTATAAAAGGAACCAACTGTGTGGGATTATTTGTATTTGATTATGCTTATTATAACCAGTTAATTTGATCTCATCTCATTGTATTGACGATTATTAAGACAGATTTGAATAGTCTGTATCAGTTCATGATTTGTATACGTCAAGTAAATCCTGGAAGTTATGTACTCCATTCATTCATCTGTTAATCTCTTATAGAGGATCCTTTTGAAGTTTCAATACAGTTAAAGATGATGAATTGAAGTTATTGAAAAAAACCGAAAGTATTTTTATTGATTCATTAAATAGAATGAAGAAGTTTCAGTGAAAGTGACTTTCTTTTCGACGATATCATTTTCTGAAACTGAACAATCGTATTTATAGGTAGTTTTTTACATGTAATAGTCATTACTAAAATAAAGAGGTTTTACAAAACTATCAAAGATAATTTAGAGGTTAAGCGTTCGCGCGCGCGACCGATAGGTCCTGAGTTCGAATTTCGTGGGGCGGACTCGTGTATGCGCACTGCCGAGGAGTCCCACAATGGGACGAAACGGCCGTCCAGTGCTTCCAGGTTTTCCATGGCGATGGTCCAGCTTCAATTGACTAATGATCTCAACCATTGAAATTACTATGATATCCACAGAAACCCTTCTTATACTAATCAACATTTGCTCACTAGTGACCGGCTTCAAGAGGTATTTGCCGGAGTTCTAGTGAGAAGTACTGACCAATGGAGTTCAACCGGGCCTATACTGAGTTAGTAACTCAGTGATAACAATTGTGGGCGGTGGTTGAAGTTAGACATTAACACCTTTGAATGCCAGTTCACTGGTCTAGAGGTTAAGCATCCATGCGCGAGACCAGTAGGTCCTGAATTCGATGCCTGCGAGGCGGGATCGTGAATAGGCATTGATGAGGACGAAGCCACCATCCAGTACTTCCAGGTTTTCCATAGTGGTCTAACGTTAATTGACTCATGAATTCAACCATGAAATTGTTAAATTAAGATTAACAGTAAATCAAAGCTCAAAAGGCTTTTTACTTTCATTTTGTCTTTTTTTCACATTTCTCCTAGAAACAGAAAACAGAAAAAGTTTCGAAAATAATGTTCAAATGACCAAACATAAAGTAAGTTTTATCCTTTGAAAATTATACTTTCCATTAAACAAAATAATTAATTTGATGTTAAAACGACTACAAATTAAGAGAAGCAATTAGTTCAAAACTAACTAAGACAGTGAAATAATCAACGTTTCTTCCAACTGTACGTTGTATTTATCACATAGTCACCCAAGCCCGAAACTAGAGAACATTGAACAAAATTGTCATCCTAGTTTTGAAATTCTCAGTAATACTCAACAAAGACTTCACTAAGGATCTAATCCAGGACCTATAGGTCTCATGTTGAAATCCACAACCCCTATACTGTTAATTAACATATGCTCACTAGTGATTAGCTTCGTGAGGGAGTTCTCGGAGTTCTAGTGAGAATTCGTGATCAGTGGAGCTAATCCCTGTCGTTTAAAGAAAGTTATGTACCTCAGTACAATGGAAGATGGTGATTCGATTTCGTGGATTGCTTGATGTTAGACACTAACACCATTGGATGCCGGCTCAGTGGTCCACTACGAGACCTTTGTTTATTTAACCACACTGTCACCATGTATAACAAGTTCATTATCAGTATTATTATCATCCTGTGAAAATAAGTATATATATTTGCGATTGTATAGCTTTGAAAATGAATTTGCCGAAAAGAGAACTCTTTGCTGAATTAATCTTTCCTATTTAATGTCTTATTAATAAATCAAATGAAACTATCAGAAGGGGTTTTGTGGAGATTTTAGTAATTTCTGTAGTTGAAGCTAGATCACCATAGAAAACCTGGGAAGATTGGACGGCTGTTTCGTCCTAGTACGAAACTCCTCAGAAGTGCGTATCCACGATCCCGACCCCCGAGAGGTTCGAACCCAGGGCCTATCAGTCTCACGTGAGAGCGGTTAACCACTAAACCACTGAGCCGGCGTCCAAAGATATTATTGTCTAACTTTAACCAATCCACGAAATCGCGCCAACGTACACCATTGTCCCATAATAGGACGAAACGGCCATCCAGTGCTTCAAGGTTTTCTATGGTGGTTGTCTAGCTTCAATTGACTCATGAATTCGACAAATGAAATTACTCTACTAAAGAAACCATATTTTAATTGATATTTCTCTATTCTATTTATTTTCTTTTTTCTCTAAAATATCACATTAATCATAGCGTTCAATGTCATTAAAAGATGATTTACAACTGAATGATGAAACAACATTGAAAACGTTATCGAAATCTACACGTTATCCTTCAAATCCTGATATTAGTCATGTACCGAACAAGGATCCAGAACCATTATTTTATCCATTACGTCAAAATTCATTAATATTAGAATATGCAATTGATTCAAGTCATATATATGAATTACAAAAAATTGTACGTAGTAAAGTAGCTGAAACTCCTATACGTTATTTAGTTATGAAAAAGTAAGTTAATGATATAAGTAATATTCATTTGTTGTTTTTTTGTTTTTTTTCTTGGAAGTAGTTCATTTACCTTTGATGAGTTTTACTAACTATTAGTTACCGAATGCCCTGGTACGGCTGAGAGTGGGGAGAATCAACTCTCTCTCTCTCTCTCTCTCTCTCTCTGTCGAAATGCTCTCACATGGCTATCTGCATACAACCACTGCCACAAGAGTTCAGCTCACTCCCTTCTCGGATCAGGGGTGTTAAAGGTTGGAAAACCCTGATTCCAAATTAATGGTGTACATGGCCTCCAGGATCTTAAGGGAATAAATAGCGTATGAACCAAGCGTTGGTGACGGGCTACCGTGGGACTGCATCTCCGGACGTTGCTCCACTGCCTTATGGACTACACCTTTAGATCAGAGGCTTGGGGTGTGGCCTCCCAAGAAAACCATCTGCTTCGGTTTGGGCACCCGGATAGTATCTCAGCCCTCACACAAATGGAATGATTTATGTGGCACATATCTATTTGATGCCTCCTTGTACCAATGTTTATGTGTTTAAATAAATAATTAATAGTTCAAACTTAATATGTGTGAACTTATTCAACATTTTATTATCTTTTTTTAACAAAAAACAATCTAGAATTACAGATAGCCATGCACTGATTATTTCATGTTCAACATATTTCAATGATGATGATGCTGTACTTAAATGGCAACGTGATATTAATAATGTAAGTTTCAAATGACTTATTAACATGTTCGGTGAGACTATAATTTATGGACGACTGACCTTCAGAGTGTCCAATTAATAAATAGGACCAAATGAGGGTTATAAACCAGTGTGGGGAAATAGAATTATGATTCACAGTTGATGACTATGGTTAGGAATTACATTTGGGATTTTCATCACGAACTGACATCGGCTATAATGTCATGAATCTATTTAGCCCAATGGATGAGTTAATTTCGCGCCAAAAATTCAAGTCCTGTTATCTTATACGTGATTGGTTCCTCCATAAATGATAGTCTCACCAACAAATGTTAAAATCTTGATAAAAATTATTATTATTATTATTATAACGGTACTTGGATTTCCAGTTAGTCTAAAGTAAGTTCTATTCATGAACTACTAAGGATTCTTTTGGTATGAACGAGAACGAATACAATCTCAGCTAGACCTAACATTTAACACAAAACAACTCATCGGTGTTTCTATTCTATATGCTAACAGAAAAGAAAAGACTTATTAAACATTGTGGTGGTCGGTATTCAATATCATCCTTAAACTTTGTATACAGTTCGTCTTGATAACCGTTACTAGATAACGCCCCAAAGGTGTATTAATCAGAAGGCGAATACAAAGTGTTGATTACGTTCATTATGGAACCACACTCAGATATCCTATTTACAGGTACGTTAAACAAGCATGAAAGAGTAGTACCGGAAAGCTAGCGGACAAGCAAGAGAGTCCTTGAATACGAGTACGAGTAAGCGAGTACAATGAACATGAATAAAATGTATATATATATATACGCAGTGAAATGTATGAATCATCGAATCAATTAAGCGACTAATAATTTTTTTATCGAGTTAGCATTCTACGGGATGGGGTCGCTAACCCCATGCCCAACCCTCCTCCTTTATCCGGGCTTGGGACTAGCAGAAGCTCCCGGAGGGAATCCAGGCGGAGTTAAGCGACGAATAGCAGAATGAATATATGAGTAGGCAGTTAGCAATGCTCCAACATACGATTCATACAAGCGCAACAACAATAAAGGCACAATGATATAGATAAGTTATTATTGTACAAATGACTCTGTTCGTTAAATAAGTTAACAAAAGGGCTTAACCAGATTAAATGTGAACAAACTCAATTTCACTTGAACTACTATAACAGCATATAAATCAGATAGCTTCTAAGGCCATATAGATAGTAGCATTTAAGTGAAAACCTTCTATCATTCATTTACCCATAAACATTTTTGTTTACAATACTTCTTTGTCTTGGATTTTCTTGGAGAACAAGAAATAACAGGATATAATAAATGTAGAATGTAATGACCAGTATAAAGTAAACAATAAAACAGTCTTCACCATGCTTTGACCAGTTAGCATGAATACATCAGTTCAATGGTAAGTTTATTTACTACGATACTTGATAACAATATTCTTTACTTGGTAAGCATATCCATTGATTCATAAAGGTTACACATAAAAAAGAAACAATATATGACCATGCTCTACGCATCTCAGTTGAGTCTTCTCAACCACATAGTATCAAATAATGACTTACTTGCTCCTGTTACTCCTCGTGGAGGAGCATAAGCCTCCCATTAGCACTCTCCATCCAACCCTGTCCTGGACATTTCTTTACAGCTCTTCCCAGTTCTTATTCATCCTTCTCATATCTGCTTCCATTTCCTGACATAATGTGTTCTTCAGCCTTCCTCTTTTCTGCTTCCCTTCAAAATTCCAAGTTAGAGTTTGCCTCGTGATGCAGTTTGATGATTTCCGTAATGTATGTCCTATCCATTTCCATCGTCTTTTCCTAATTTCCTCTTCAGTTGTAAGTTGGTTTGTTCTGTCCCACAATAGGCTGTTGTTGATGGTATCCAGTCAATGGATGCTGAATAGACAACTATTTATAAATACCTGTATCATTTTGATGATGGTTGTGGTAGTTCTCCAATTCGTAGAACTGTCTTGATGTTCGTATTGAAGATTCTCACTTTGATACTGGTTGAAAGTTGTTTTGAGTTCCATATGTTCTTCAATTATATTAGTATTGTCTTTATACTGACATATTTTTTCTATCCATTTATATAATTTTTTTAGGGTTCAATTTGGACAAATGAACCAATTTATGTATTTGATCGTGAAAGTCGTTCACTTCGATTACCAGCTTATATGCGTAATAGTTTATGCTTACAAATGCATAATAAAAAATCAATTATTATGAATTAAACTTTATATAAATACAAGTACATCTTATCATTGACACACACACACACACATACACATACATACACACGCACTTTGGCACAAGATTTTCCCATTTAAATAATAATAATAATAATAATAATAAAACAAACTCCCCATGTTTTGTGTTTTTGTATCCAGGATAACAATTTTGTACATAATTATTATTTTTTATTATCAAAAATCAATTAAAAATCAATAAAGTGCTATAAAACACACTTTTTTTTAAAAATTATAATAATAAATAATACACAATAATAAACTATATTTATATATGAATTCATGATTCAATTCAAACTAGACTATCATAGGAAACCTGGAAGTACTAGAAGACTATTTCATCCTAATATTTGATTTCTCAGAAGTACCGATTGTGATGGCACAATTTTGTGGATTGATTAAAGTTAGACATTATTACTATTAGATACTGGCTCAGTAGTCTAGAGGTTGAACGGTCACCAGTGTGAGATTGATAAGTTTTAAGCTAGAATCTTACAGGATGGAATCATGGATACGCATTGATACTGAGGAATCTTATATTAGAATGGAACGGCTTTTTGAAGCTTCCAGGTTTTCTATGGTAGTTTAGATTGAATTGATTCATGAATTCAACTATCTAATTACTATAATATACACAAAAACCTCTCTTTGAATATTTCAATGAATTTAATAAATAAGTTTTCCCGGTTGCACAATTTTGTTATTTTTTAAGAAAAAAAAAGTTTTTTACTCTTTTCTCTTTTTTTTCTTTTCTGTTTTTTTATGAATTTTTTTAATGGTTTATTGGTTGTTTTCTTTTTTTTTCTTTTCTTTTTGTTTACTTTTAATTTCTCATGTTTATTCATAAGAACTTAATTGATTTCTATATGACAAGATTTAAATAATAAAAAAAATTATGTTAAATTCACTTGGTGCTGTTTTCCTTTTTTTCCTTTTATCTTTTTTGTTGTTGTTTAGGAATGTAATTAATCATTAATCTCTTGTTGGCATATATATGTACATTCTGTGAGGATTGCCTTATTATTGTCTTAATTCACAAGCATTCGAAGTAAAGATGGATAGTGGTTAGAAGTGGAATCCAGGACGAGCGCCATTTCGTTCTATTTGGAACTCTTTAGTTGGATGTACCTACATCTCGGAGTTGATGTTCATTTTGAGGATCGAAGTCGGTATCGTTCGCTTCAAACGCCATCGAGTTTTTTTCACTGAGCTACTGAGCCCTGATAGCCAATTGCTTGTGCAAATGCGTGAAGTTTAAATTCACTTGATGTCGTTTGCTTGTAAAATGAATAGAAAATTAATCCAAATTTCTGTATTTTATTTTAGTGATTTATAAGGATTCACCGGTTGGAAAAAGGTATTTTGATTATTGCAATGTTTTCAGGTCTCGTATTTGATCTCATGTGTAGTCTAGGTATGAGCTGGGAGAAATAAACGAAAAACTTGTAATCTTCAGCATACACATCCACCTTATTTTTATAGCCAACCTTTCTACACTAATGCACTTTGTATGTGTTTGTATGCTTATCTGTCAACCATTATTTTTATCTAATGCCTGTCTGCTTGTTATACTACACATTGTCTATTTTGAGCTTTATTAATATTTGTAATGATTGGTATAGCGAGTGAGCACGTTTGCCTTCTCCTATCTGCTTCTCAGCTCTTTTTGTCATATTGTCTATCTGCAGCAACATGTGTATGAAGTATACATGTCCGAAACTCATTCTGATATTTGACTTGTTTTATTCCGTTATGCTCTAGCGAGAATTAAGTCGATAACTATATACGACGGTAGCCAGAATATATATTTTGTTGACATCAGCATACAGTCGAATTGGAGTCAGATCAACAGGACTCTATACTGGATACTATTTTCAGTTGTCCAAACCTCGCCGGTCTAACTGAAGTTTAAGAACTTTCCAGATATCTATGTACTAGACATTAATCTGTGCGCATGTGACCAGTAATACTAGTCCCAGGCGGTTGTATCAGTCTTTTCTTCAAAATTAGTAGATATTGGTGCCAAATTTAACCAATACAACTTCATAACACATGGCAGCAATGGTCCTGTCAAATCTATACGAATGGTCAAAATGAAAGAAGCAATGTTCAGAATGCCATATCTATCAACCTTCAATCCATTATCGCAATAAAATACTTAAGTTATGCAGTCAGAACATGATTCCAAAGCAAGCCCTACTTAGAACATAAAATAGAAATTCTCTCGACAGTAAAGCTTGTCATAGAAGCTACCTAGAGACCAGACACACTTCATCTGCTTTATAAGCTGTATGTTGCCTGCTTTATACACTAACAACAGATCGTCTCTGACTGGAAATAAACTCAGCTCTGGTTGCGATTTTCGGCAGTCGACTTGAAGATCAATCAGAATGAAGCAGGAATTATAATTTCCTCCATATGTGTAAGAAGTGGCGGTTGGAAGCCCCATTCGGTATGTTTTTCCGCTGGCTTTTTGGTGTCCATACATAATGTTTTTAGTTTGCTGAAATTCCTCAATTTGTGAGACATTCTGAGTGTTGGCGCTATTCTTTTAAACACTTTTGCTTTATCGGTTTTTTCTACTGCTACCTAGGTGAGTGTATTCTTTCCGACGCGCTTACCTGCTATATAAAATTTTAATTCGTTTTTTGTAGGTATTATGTTTTAGGTATCGGACACTGTATTAAGCGCTTTTTAGCTGGTTGTGATATGGATCACTAACCACACGATTCTTGGAGCATATTATATAATTACTGAGAAGATTCACTATCAAATGAGAGTAGGTCAACAGTGGTGAACGCGCAAACATTTATAGTAGTACTGGTCCTGACCACACAATCTTCAAAGCTGAATATGAGATAAGTATAAAAATGCATCTTCAACATTCAAGAAGAAGAGAAGGTCAACAACGGGGAAGGCAGAAAGAATTGAATAAATCAATTTAATTCAGTCAAATATAATTGCTCAGCATTGCAGACGTGGATATTCTGTATAACTTGTCTTTACTCACATTAAATATATCATTCAATCTTTAGCATCAATAAGTTCTTTAGAAAGTTCAGACATTATATTGCTGACTGTTGCGATACGACGGGTCAGAATAGACAATGATGTGATTTTCACGTAAGATCTTATAATCTGGGTAGTCACATCCTGACAATTCTACAATTTTAGGATTAGCTCTATTATTGTAATGGTTCTCATGACGAAGATAATCATAGTTCTTTCCATCCAATTGGATGAATCAGATACTATACGTATATATATATATATATATATATCGTATAATCGTTAAATAACTGAACTATTCATATTCATATTCCTCTTATTATAAGCTCTATTTTGACCTATGAACCATTGTTATACGTTTTACCATTCTTGAATTATGTCCTGTCTATTAGTCACTGCCTCCCACATTCACAGCCACATTTGGCCAAATTTTGTACAAATGTTATTTTCTAGTTTATGCTACATTGTGGTCTGTTTGATTGGTATATAAACTCAGTGTGTTTGAAATATAATGATTCATATTGTAGAGGCTGGAACTGCCGTCCCGGACGCAACAGAGAAAGCTATTATGCATGCATCTCGCACATTAACTCCAGCGGAAAGTACAGTCAAATAGAAAAAAGGCTCTCACCCTTGTGTTTGCAGTACGCCGTTTCCACAAATTTTTGTACGGTCGAAGATTTACCCTTCTCACTGATCCCAAGCCTCTTCTCATAATTTTCGGTTCAAAATCCGGTATTCTAGCCCACTCTGCAGACCGTCTCCAGCGATGGGCTTTGATACTTTTGGGTTATGATTTTGACATTCAGTACTTGCGCACCCAAACGTTTGATCAGGCTGACGACTTATAAGCGAACACCATACGGCCGACGAATATGCGGTTATCGCCTTCTTATAACAGAGGACCACGCGCAATTTTATTTGACAACTGCTGTTCGTGATTTGCTAGTCTCAGCAGCTGAAATACAAAATTCCTCTAGGAACGACTCCATCATTAAGAGAGCTATGTAATACGTCACCAATGGCGGGCCGTCAACTGGACTCGATGGTGACTTGAAGCAGCTTTACGACCGTCAGGACTCGTTATGTGTCGTAAACGAATGCTTGATGTTTGAAGAGCGGTGGTACCAGAGTTCCTACGATCAATAGTGCTAAAGCGATTACACACTGATCATTTTCGTATAAAACGAATGAAATCCATCGCCAGAAGCTATGCTCATCGGACCCTCATGGAGCAAAATATTGTGGATTTATTAGGCAAGTGCACTCAGTATCAGCAAGCGGCCAAGTGTAACGCGAAAGTACTGCCGGTCCCATGGCCAAAGCCTGAGTATCCCTGGTCCGGGGTACATGTCAACTTCGCAGGCCCAATTAATGGAATCACCTATCCAGTCGTTGTTGACGCTTTTTCCAAATGGCCAGAAATTGTTCCTGTCATGCCACCAACGACTACCCAAGCGATGCAACGTTTGACGGAGATGTTCTCCCGCAACGGATAACCCGGTGTAAAAGTATCCGGCAACGGTTCGCAGTTCACTTTAAGTCAGTTTCAAGAATCTTGAGAATGCCTATCGATCAAAAATTTTCCGCTCTCCACCTTACCACCCACAATCAAATGACCAAGCAAAAAGATTTGTGGATACATTCAAGAGAGCTCTAACGAAGTCGAAAGAGGAGGGGACGCCAGTCGAAACACTGCAGAATTTCTTGTTTGTTTACCGAACAACACCTAGTGGTATGCTACCACAGCAGAAGTCCGCGACAGAGATCCTGATGGGAAGGAAATTCAGGACGATGAACAGTCTAATGTGCCCAAGAACAACACCATCACCATTCAGATCAAATCTCAGAAGCTGCCAACGTACGAGGTTGGGTGCTCCGTGTTCAGTCGACACTACAGAGCAAATCATGGTCATTTGACCGAAGCGCGTGTGGTTGGAAGACTGGGCCAAGTTGTGTACGAGGTAAAGGTGGGAAGAGACACGTTGACTAGACACCGAATTCAACTATGGAATCGGATAGCCCCAAACCACCCATCAACAGGAGTAAATCCCTCCTCAAAATCCTGCTTGATACCTTCAACTTACCAGCAGCCAG